ACAGGTGTATTACTCATAGCATGTTTTAGTGTGTTGAATGCCTGATCACACTCAAGTGACCATTGGAACTTTGGTTTTTTTCCTAGTTCTGCCTCCGAATGCTTCTTTAGCAAGGCATTCAGTGGAAGCGCTATGTGAGCGTAATTTTTCACATACTTCCTGTAGAAGTTTGTGAGACCTAAGAAGGAGCGAATCTGCTTTTGTGACTTGGGCACTGGAAAGGTTCTAATTGCTTCAATCTTTTTGTCATCAACTTGAACACCTCCACATGATAAAACATGACCCAGAAAAGAAACTTTGTCCGTTGCAAAATTGCATTTGGATGGCTTTAGTGTTAATTTTGCCTGTTTCAGATAGTAAAATACTTGCTCCAAATGTTGGAGATGTTCTTCAAAGTTTTTGCTGTAAATTATCAAATCATCAATGTAGATCAGCGCAACCTTAAAAAGCAATTTTCGTAGCACTTTGCTCATGAGCTGTTGAAAACAAAGTGGAGAATTTGTCAAACCTTGGGGCAATCGTTTGAATTGATAAAGGCCTTGATGCGTGACGAAAGCAGTTTTATGCTTTGAATCTTCATGTAATGGCACTTGGAAGAAGCCATTAGCAAGGTCTAAAGTTGAGAAGATCTTAGCATGTGCATTGGCGATGTTATCAACAACATCATCAAAAACAGGAAGAGGCCAAGACATTGGTAAAGTGACAGAATTCAACTTTCTGTAGTCACAAACAAATCTATATGAGCTATCACGTTTCTTGACTAGGATAATGGGAGCTGAATACATAGAAGTAGACTCCTCGATCAAATCATACTTCAGAAAATCATCTATAAGCTCTTCAGTGACTTTTTGGAGATGAGGAGATTGGCGATATGGTCTACACTTAACGGGTGGGTGGTCGCCAGTGTCAATGATATGTTGGTGCATGTCAGTCTTTCCTAAATCTGCAAGACTCGTTGAAAACATGTTTCTATTTTGTCCCAAAAATCTAAGTAGTCTGTGTCGTTGGTCTGGAGTCAGTTGTGTATTGGTCAAATCAAATCCTAATTCTTGTGCAATTTTAACATAATCCCTGGTGTCATTGTCTCTCTTCTCAGTGGTGTGAACGGTACTGATGAATGGTTGGTCAGAGTCGATTTCATAAACAGAGTCTTGGTCAATGTAACTAAATTTGCCTACAACTGTACCCTTGTCAAGAACCTTTTCTTCTTGGGAGGGATTCATAAGCCTAAATGTAGCAGTTTTGCTTTTCACTTTGGAAAGAGTTCTACCACCTGCTACTTCAGAATGAGCAGTGAGGGAAGCAATGGGTTCAATGAGGATGAGGGAGTCCTCTTTGGTCTCTGATAGTCTAACCTTGAAATGAATTTCACTCTGAGGGGGGATGTAAATCTGATCTATTGTTTTTGCTAATCCACTAATCTCTTGTACTGAATTGGCTATGAAATTGATATATTGCCTGTCTGAGGTGCTGTTGTTAAGTATCAAGGAATGACAGCTATAATCTAAGACTGCATCATTGTCATCAAGGAAGTTTTCACCTAGTATCACTGCCTCTGGAAGTGTAGGCAGAATGTGGAATCTTTGAGAAAATTCCTGATCCTCAATGACAAAATCTAACACAACTGAACCTAACACTTTATGCAATTCGCCGCCAACACCTTTAACCTGTGGAAAGGGTGAGTTTCCAAGAGTAAGGTTTTCAAAAGCTGTGCTAAGAAAAGCAGACGAAATACAAGAAATGGATGCCCCTGTATCTACTAAACAATTTGTTGTTTTTGTGCCAAATTTTGCCTGAATTACACTGTTGGCAAGGGGCGTAACTAAAGACACTGTTGGAATTTCACTTTCAAGGTTACTTTCCATTCCAGACTCCATATTTGCCATGACACCTATTAGTATGTACCGTACTAAATTAAAGGAAGACAAGTAATCAACAATGTTTTACTTACAATATTTGAAGACTTTTTCTTTCTTTGTTGGTGTCTTTGGAGGAGTTGGTTGTCTTTAATCCAGTGTTGAGGTCAGAGGTAGATGCAGCTTGCTTGTTATTCCATCAGATGATCACGGTTGGACATGTCCTCCAATGGGTTCTTGTAGCTGGTTGTAGTAAGTTCCTGGACTCCGTGGTTCCGAAAACGATGATTCTCCGCCAAATTATCATGGAACTGTTCTGGGTGAACAGTACCTTCCAAATGACGTGCTGGTTTTCTTGGGGAATTAGTCAGCAAAGAGCCAGAGTCACAGGAGACTAATCACAATTTTATTTACAAGAACAATTAACAATTTACAATATACTTAGATAATAACTGAGGGTGCCACAGAGAGTCGGTACACACTCTGGGCTGTGGGAGAGAGGTCTGCTTGGTAAGAGAGTCAAACCCCTTCTCTGCTTAAAACCTGCCTACAGTATGTATTTAACAAAAATTTAAACAATAGAAAGGAATGTGATTGGTTGATACACGATTGGTTGTGTCCTAAGCTAAATGGATGGCTAGACAGAGGGGAATACTAAATCCTGTTTATCCTGTTGGACTGGCACTAATCTTGTTGACATATTTACTGGATGCTTTGAAAGAGATTAGGGTGTCACTACAGATGAGCTTGTGTGGGGGCTAATCCTTAATGCCCTATAGACGAGCTTGTATGGGGGCTAATCCTTAATGAGTCTTAATTGAAGTAATGTTATTCTAATATACCCCGGTAGGTGATGACAGATATACTTAAATAAATATCCTTTGTCTGGGAGATGGGATCTTGATACCTTAGGCTAGCAACCATCTAAAAAAAGCTTTAACTGAAACTACTGATATTTTATATATGCATTTTACCTAATGATAATTATTACTTGCTAAACTATAATTATATGAAATGATGTATAAATATTACACCATGATAACTCATAAAAGCACTTGATGTAGATCTAATTATTATAAGATAACTTAGTATAAATGTTATCCCATGATATAACACTGAATTGTAAATTTTTAAACTGATCCTGTCTCACACTATGCATTTCTTCCTTCTGCTTTTGATCCTCATGTGGAAATGGGCTTGAACAAAGTTTCCAGCTTCTAAAAACATTTCACCCAAACACATCCCAGCATCACCATGGTCACCACCCAAACAAATGGGTCACGCACTGTAATCCTGTAGTGTGACTTTTCACAACTTGATCACCTGACTACCCCTGCCACATCACACTCTTGCTTAGAACTGACAGGCTAGAGGAGCTGTGATGAGGTGATGGTCAGGTGGGCATGTAGTGTGAGAGATAGGATCAGTTTATAAATATACAACTTGATGAAAAATTTACAATTTTTCTAAACTTCTCCTTTCTATGCATTTAACCCATGGTTGGACGGTTGGGTGCAGATACCCTAGCCTTTAGTAGACTACAACTGTGAGTGAGTGAGTGAGTTTGGTTTTACACTGCTTTTAGCAATATTCCAGCAATATCACGGGGGGGGACACCAGAAATGGGCTTCACACATTGCACCCATGTTGGGAATCAAACCCGGGTCTTCGGAGTGACGAGCGAACGCTTTAGCCGCTAGGCTACCTACAACTGTTAGACATACAGGAGGAAGCTGGTGCTAAACAGTGACACAAATAGAGAATCTATAACACTGCCCGATGTAGTAAAGACAAGGTGATGTGACCACTTTACACTAGTTGGACGTAGCATCATGAAATCGGGTATGACAGGTTATGTGTTTTCACGTAGGACATTGTTACACAAGCAACTGCGTAGCTTTGAACAGAGACCTATTCAGCATATGACTTATAACCAATCTGGAATAGGTCTCCAGGCAATCAGTTCTACAAGACCGATCACACCACTATCTCCAACGGACAAAAGGGTGAGCCAGCTTGGCATCTCCTTAAACGCTTTGTCAAAGCTATCAATCATGCCTGCGTAACTGAAGCATGCCAAGAGGAAAAGAGGAATAATCGACAATATCCACTAGAGGATCATCAATCCAATACTGAGACATCATGTGCCTGAAGAAGCGGTGAGCAGGTAAGGGCCTGATCATAGTGGCGTGATCTATCTCGACTTTTCCTTAGTGTAGGTGAAGGGGAGGGCGAAGACAAGGCATCAGAAGTCTACCGGGGTCGATGCTACAGGAAGTGTCTGGGGAGAGACTGGTCCGTGATAGGACGACCTCTTCAGCAAGTATGAAATCATCTCATGGGGGAGCAGGGGGTGACAGACTTCTCTCAGCTGAGGGAGGGGGAATGCTGGGAGGGTTGGTAGCAGTTGTCACACTTGTAGTGGAGGTACTGTCTATTGCCAAAACTGTACATATGTATGTAGTTGTAGGTTGAGAAAACCTTGGCGTAGTAACAGGCGTGCAAGTGACAGTCGACAGCTTAGTTTTGGCGGGAACATCTTCTTCTTGGCAGAGGAAGATGGAAACATGTTTCAAACATGTTTCAACATAACGATCGAAAGAAGAAGGCAGAAATGCATCGTGTGAGATATGATAAGTCCAAATATATGCTATTTAAAATATTTTTTGATAGATTCATTTACAAAAAGAGTTCATCTTCATGAACCAAAAGACCAAGAGGAGAAATTACAAATGCAGTAAAGTTTGATAAATATGTGTTGTATGCAGGACACAGGTTCATAGCAACGTAAATAACCTAAATATGCCAAAATCATGTCATATGTATTTCATATACCACACACTACATATGAAATGTTATTAACTGATCATTTTCAATATGTCTGCAATGTCGGATTTTGAACTGTTGGAACTTGACAAGCAGTGTTTGGAGGCCATGGACTAGGACAATCCATGTCAAGTTGCAGCTTCACAGTCCCTGAAAGTTCAGGTGAGCTTAAAAGAATTCTGAAAAACGTACACCTATGTGGGTCTGTCTTCAGCCCAACTCAATCCCATAACAAACTGAAAATATGACAACAAGAATATGAACAGAGAAAGTGTTGATGTAAGTCTCATGAGTATATTTAATGAAAATGCAGTTTACCAAATCGCCGACAGAAAACGCCCATGATTGCCGATTCGTCTACAACTCGGAGATCACACAAGCACGCCAGCTCAAGACCGCCAGCGACAGCATACCCTTCCACAGCTGCTATCACTGGTTTGCTGGGAAACATCCGAGACGGACCCTGAAAAATATCAGAACAAAAGTCCGTAAAACTGCTGAAACATGCCCTCACTATCAAATTTAATTGCAACAGTGAAGTCATTTTGAAAAGTATTTCAGTTATTTCATAAAGTATTTCAGCATGTCTGCTTGGTGTGGAGGGAAATATCAAGAGTGATGCAGCTCCTAGACACTTATCCCACTGGTGAAACCCATGATCATGGGATTGGTGATGACAAATGAAGAACTTAAAATCATGGCTCCTCAGGGATTCAAACTAGTGGTCAAAATAGTGCACCAGTTCTGTAGCTCACCTGGGTGAAAAGTATCAAAACATACAGGCTGTAAAACTGCTGAAACATGCCCTCACTATCAAATTTAACTGCAACAGTGAAGGTTAAAAGTCATTTCAAGAAGTATTTTAGTTATTTCGCAAAGTATTTCATAACCTGTCACAAGGCCAGTCCTGTAGCTCACCTGCGTATGTATTAAAATGTCAACAAAAACAGACACCCGAAGTAAGTTGCAGTTAGCATAGATAATCAAATATTTTCTGCATTTATTCACAAATATGGGACATGTAACTAAATTTCAATGATTCTTTATCTACAACAATCATAACAATGAATGTGTTATGATGAATACAAAATGGTTACATTTCCTTCACGGTTTCACACTGAACCCTTAATTTACAATATATTCTAAATTAACTTGATTTTGTTTCAATGTCAGAGAGAGTAAGTGAGATAATAATAACTGCAAATCAGTGATTTGAAACCACTATATGCGGATCCTGGCAGTGCTAAGGGACACAACTCCACATGGTGAACTGTAGAGTTTAGACCACTAGTACTCTTCTACCTGACCCATGAAGATCCAGGTTAGAATAGGTCTTCAGCAATCCATGATTGCTGGAAAGGCAAATATGATTGTTGTATGAGTCGACTAACGGTATCGGGTGTTCAGGCTTGGTGACTTGGTTAATTGATGCATGTCATTGTATACCATTTACGTGGGTCGATGCGCATGATATCAATCACTGGATTGTCTGGTCCATACTTGATTATTTACAGACCACTGTCATATAGCTGGAATATTGCTGAATATTGCAAACAAACAAACAGTTCTACCTGCATCTTCATGTGACCTTTGTATGACTTTCTATATACTGACTTGCCTAATGAACTGCACCTGTGTCATTGTATAACGTCAAACTTTAATTTTTGGTTTACGGATTCAACAAACCTGAGCCAAAATCAACCATTAAAAAAGTATGAAAATTTAGTTTATTCTTAGTATTGTTTGTCCAACCTCTTCACAATTGATGGATGAGAAAGGGAAAAATGACAGCTAAATACAAGTCGTACAAAGTCCAGTACCCTTTAACTTTGTTAACAATAGCTGATCAGCCACTGCAAACCTCTCATACAGAGAAGAAAGCATTTTCTGACATATATATGTTACTGTGAAAGTCCCAACCATCCTGCACTTTATTCAGAATTATCATATACTTTCACCAATTAAAACAACCAATCCAACAAACTGCATGCTAAATAAATATACAGAACTTCACAAATTAATTTTTATTAATATTATGACTGACCCAAGCTAAATGGTTATGAGAAGTCTGTCATCAATAAAGTGTGTCTTTTGGATCGATTTTATGCCTGCTTATCAAAGTTAGTGTCCAGAGAACAAACACACAGAATATGGCTCACAAGACAAATATTTGCCTAGATCTTGGAAACACTCCCAGCCCCAGCATGCCTTGTATTGATCCCTTTTATCTCCGGAGGTTATAGTCACCCATGTGGCCGGCCATCGGTCAAGACTAGAGTTTACTTTTCACCTGACAACAAATTAGATTTGGAGTAAGGCCATAAAGTTTGTTATCAGCAGACTTCCATTTTATACAGGTAAGTCCAGGACATGACTGGGGACTGACCACTTATCATATCCTGCACTGACTCTAGCTTGACCATGGTGACCTCATTGACATGACAAACGTATCCACTAGGGCTGGGATGAGTCCAAATTTATTACCCGGGTACCCGACCCCCTATTACCCGACCCTACCTGGGTACCCACTGTAGATCTCAAGAGATAGGTACAAAATGTTCAGTTGGGAATTGGTTTACCGGAGCCCTGGCAAAAAGTGTTTAGATATAATATAAAACAATCTGATCGTGCATACACTGCAGTTGACTGAACCTTTGTCTTTACTCAAACATATACAAGTCAGAAGGAATGTGTGCATAGTCAGAAAGACATGCAAACATTAGCGACTTTTACTAGTGTAACCATGGAATTTTATTGTTATTGTCATTTAACCATGTATCACGTGACTAACCACGGGTCCGGGTAGTCCTGTAGGCACCCGGGTCCTACGCAGGACCCACCCGAACCGAGTACCCAAGCTACCCGTCCCAGCCATAGTATCCACCTGTACAGACTTGCCCAGATTTATCTATTTTCGTGTTGGGTTGGGTTGGGTTGGGTTGGGTGGGGTGGGGTGGGGTGGGGTGGGGTTGGGTTGGGTGGGATGGGGTGGGGTGGGGTGGGGTGGGGTGGGGTGGGGTGGGGTGGGGTGGGGTGAGGTGAGGTGAGGTGAGGTGAGGTGAGGTGAGGTGAGGTGAGGTGAGGTGAGGTGAGGTGAGGTGAGGTGAGGTGAGGTGAGGTGAGCTGACCTGAGCTGACCTAAGCTGACCTAAGCTGAGATGCATGCATGCATAAATGAATGAATGCATGTGTATGTAGCTACTTGTACTAGTCCGGAATTATGCCAGTAGTGCCAGCCCACTGAGATACCATGCCACAGTTTAACATGGATACCCGACTCAGACACAGTATACAGACTTCGAGCTGACCAGTCATTGTTTTATCCCCATAATATGCCGAGTGGGTAACAACAAGTACCACTTTAAATGTCTCTTGGTATGACACGACCGGGGATCGCACCACTTATGCAGATGCTCTATCCACAAGACCACCACAGAAGCGTTACACTAAACAGGGCACACCATCTGGACCCTCTTCTTCCACATACAGTACTGAGTTGGACACTGTTGATGCCTTGCACCAGGTTGAATTCATTATTGGAATTGATTCCTGTACAAAGAGATTATTGATCTGTTTGTGTAGTGCTGTGTATGTAGAGGTGTGGTGTTGGTAGGTAGATCAGTTAGTGGGCTCAGTCCGGCCATGATCTATTTGTGTAGTGCTGTGTATGTAGTGGTGTGGTGTTGGTAGGTAGATCAGTTAGGTGGGCTCAGTCCGGCCGTGATCTGTTTGTATAGTGCTGTGTGTGTAGAGGTCTGGTGTTGGTAGGTAGATCAGTTAGGTGGGCTCAGTCCGGCTGTGATCTGTTTGTGTAGTGCTGTGTATGTAGTGGTCTGGTGTTGGTAGGTAGATCAGTTAGGTGGGCTCAGTCAGGCCGTGATTGGACATAACATTCTACAGAGCTGGCATCAACATTTCACTTGAGAATCAAGTCATAGTCGAGACATACTGCAGTCTGTGACCTTAACCCCTTGTTTGAAGCCCAACTTACATTTTGTCTAATCTCCCATGCTCAGCTAATGAAATTTCACATATGAACCTAGGCCGTATGTCATGGAAGAGGGCTGGCTGAAAAGTTCTAAGCCTAAGTGGTTAAATAGGATTGAAACAAACTTTTTCCACCAACAAGTACAATCATTTAATGAATCATAGACATAAGAACTGCAACTGTAGAGTTATTATTGTCTTTGTACCAGACCATCTTTTGAACCTACCCATTGAAATCACTAGAAATGGACAAAACTGGCTATAGGGCAGTCATCAAGTACCTGCAACTGAAAGGGTTAACTCCAACACAGATACATGCTGACATGGTCTCCACTTTAGGGGATGATGCCCCTTCCTTTTCCACTGTAAAGAAGTGGGCTGCGGAATTCAAGCGTGGCAGAGAGTGCCTTGACGATGACCCGCGTCCAGGAAGGCCTTCAACAGCAACCATTCCAGAAAACATTACCCGGGTGCATGACATGGTGATGGCTGATCGACGATTGACCACTCGACATATTGCCAGTGTTGTGGGCATCTCTCATGAGAGGGTTAAGCACATTATCACCAACGAGTTGGGAATGACAAAAGTTTCTGCAAGATGGGTGCCAAAGCTCTTGACAGCAGATCAGAAACGTGTCAGATTCCTGACATTCCCGTGACAATTTATGCCGTTTTGAAGCAGATCCCGATGATTTTTTGGCCCGATTTGTAACCATGGATGAGACCTGGATTCATCACTTTCAACCAGAAACCAAAATTCAGTCTAAACAATGGAAGCATCCGGAATGACCAGCCCCCTAAAAACCTGGTTCCTTCTGCTGGAAATGTGATGGCTTCAGGCTTTTGGGATTCCAAGGGTATTCTGCTGATTGACTATCTTGAAAAAGGCCAGACTATCAATGGAAGATATTATGCTGACCTACTGAGACAGTTGCGTGAAGCCATCAAAGCTAAGCGACGGGGAATGCTCACTAAAGGAGTCCTGTTCCACCAAGACAATGCTCCTGTTCACAAATCGGTGGTTGCCATGTCAGCGATCCATGATTGTGGCTTCGAACTCATTGACCATCCCCCTTATTCACACGATTTGACCCCGTCAGACTTCCACCTGTTTACCAAAATGAAAAAGGAACTACCCGGTCGCCATTTTCCTAGTAATGATGATGTCATTTCCGCTGTGAATGACTTTTTTAGGGTGGCTGAAGAAAATTTCTTCTTGACCGACATCCAGGCCTTGCAGCATCGCTGGCAAAAGTGTGTAAACCTGGAAGGGGACTATGTGGAGAAATAAATGAAAACCATCGACTTGGTACAGGTCTTCCACAGTTAGGCTTAGAACTTTTCAGCCAGCCCTCGTAGCATGGGGCAGATGTGTGCATTTTATCATGATTACGATAAACAGGGTGGAGAGAGAGAAGAGAGATTGGTCTTATGACTGTATAATGTTTTGCAATCTCATTAAAATCAGATCTAAGTTCTCCCTGCCGCTGAACAAAGATCTGAGGACATCCCATTATGGGTCACGTCAGAACGACCTTTGCCGAACTTTGACCGACCACTGAAACGACTAACAAGAAGTCGACATCAGCCAATTAGAAAGCAGCTTTCACAAGCTTTACAGCCCTCGTTTCAACTTGGCAACTTCCATTTCAGACTACGCTTGAAAAATATGCTGACACAGTTCTCGATCAAAATTCCTTCCCACGTACTGTGCAACACCTCCTCCGTTCAAACGTTTATCCCACGACAGATAGACGATAATGTTGACAGAATCAGTCGTACAGGCCGTAACTGTCGTTCGGAATACCCCATGTCAACGTGTTTGAGGTTGCATGATTAGAAAACACATTCTGACTCACTTTCATGATCTGGTAAGCGACGCTTTGATTGGTCGGATGAAAGGTCGTTTTGACATGACCCGTGATGGGATGTCCTCAGATAGCGAGAACTAAAATCTGATTTGAATGAGATTGAATATTTTGCTGCCCCCCCTCATTTTATGTAACATTTTTCACGGCCTCTTAAGTACATGACCAGTCACTAAAAAATGGTCAATGAATATTTTTTCATTTGAAAAAGTAGAACTGTCATTTTTTCATGGGATCCCAAACTATATAGGTGTGATAAATTATGCAGACATTGAACCCTTTTGGGAAATCAAACTCACTCGGGCCTTTGGCATAATGAGAAAATGTGTTAACCACAAAGCTATCTAGCCGCCCTAGATTGTTTCAGGAAATCTGTCAGGGAGGAAAAATGGTAAATGGAAGTGACTCTGATTGTTGTGCAATACTGAAACGAACATGTTTTAACTCGATACAGGAAAATTGAAAATCAATGTCTTTTTTCATTTTGTTAGCATAGAGCTGTATCGTTATATTGATTAATACTTAATGGATATGTTGCCACTTAGACCCTAGACATTTGCCATGCATCAAGAGTGATGAATCGACAAGGCCTGTTTTGCAATCTGCTCTCAATAACTGAACAAAACATGACTGTTATCACTGCAAGACTTACCATCGGTGCTGCTATGTCCTGCACAGGCTCTCTCACCAGGGAACTGATTGATGTGTCCATCTTTGCAAGTGCGGTCAGGTCAAACCCAGCACAAAACACACCACCTCAAAATGAAAACAACAACAAGCTTCAACATCAAAATGTAATCCTGCATATTTGACACAATTTTCATCCAAAATACTTTTAATTATAATTTGAATATATCTTATTGGATGCATATTTTCATCAGTTGATGCTCAGTACTGGTTCGACAAAACCATTCAAGGAATGTAACCATGGTAACATTGTTTATGTTTTCATTAAATCATGTTTAAAGCAAACAGAACGTTCACAGTGCGGACTATAACTCGTAACATTTTAATACAAAACATTTTGCTTGATATTTTTTTTATCCCTGCCTTTGTGTGATTTTAAGGATAAAGAGTTCAGCATGGTTCAAACATGAATCTTTAAATTGTGCTTTTGACTCTCAAAAGGTATGCAGGTCTAGGGTATCACACTTCACTCTGCAGAGTTGTACCCCTTAGCTCTGCAAGGATCTGCCGATCATGGGTTCAGTTTATGATCTGATTCATTAAAGTGCAAAACTACGACATGTACGATGACATTTCAGGCTTTTTCAATAAATATAAGATAGTCACGTGATAATAATCACAAAGAACAATAAAGAATGAAGCATGGTTTACTTCACGATAAAACATTGTTCTATCATGTCGTTTCTGGTGATTGGAATATGTGCTTGCAACTTGATGACATCATATATTGGACGACCAGGTGAAGTGTCTAGTAAGTTGTTCCCCATAGATGTAGCTGGCTAATGTACCAAACTTAACCCACCTGTTCGTGAAATGGACATGTCCAACATTTCCAAGGTTGGATTCTATTCAGGGAGTCATCGTTATCAAGATTTTGGTAAATATTTTTAAAGCTTGTACATATTATCAACATCCTTAAAGAGGCTGTACATAGTGTTGATATTTCCTATAAGAAATAAGTGGTGGGAGTGGGAGTGGGAGTTTTTTATTGTACAATAAAACACTGCAGGGAGAATAAACCACTCGGGGCTTTGACCTCATGGTTTATTATCCCTGCAGTGTTTTATTGAATGATAACAACTCCCACGAGTCGTTTATTTCTTAACTAAACTGACATTCCATGATATAACTGAACTACTGTTCAATGGAGCATTTAGCCAACTCACTCACTCACTCACCCACTCTTGATTCAAGGACTGACCTTCCCCATACAGCACGGCCACCTTGGCCCCTTCCTCGGCCTCAAACTGCCGGAACGCTTTCAGGAGTTCTGCAGCTGTCGCAGGACTCACAGCGTTCCGCTTGCCGGGAGAATTGAGGCCTATCATGAACACCTCACCTCGTTTTTCAGTTCTGACCAGGTCTGTAAATTATAACACTGTTTGTTAACACACAGATCCAAAACATATTAGGAACCTGAACGTTTTACTGCTCTATGAACTGATGAGGGAAAGACTCACAACCATCACAGTCTAAAAGATGAAGACAGACTCATCCTTGCATGCCTACAGTTGTATATAAATAATGGTGGATTTCTGAGAAAATGATAGGCATAGTCCTTACTGATTTATCTAGGATTTCTGGGAGTTTTTTTTTTAAATTTGTGATTTTCATAAAAGTCCATATTTTCTTTTCAGGGTTATTTTAATATTACATTCAATGCAAAATTGTAAATTAACAGTAAATACTCTTCTTGTTTATTGGTCCTGTATCAGTGAAGCAAAGTCAACACTGCAAAGTCAGCAATTAGATATCACTTTAATGACATGACCTGTAATTCCTATCTGGAACATTTGCTTCAGACGTGGGGCTGAATATCAGCCTCTGAGCAGGTGTAGAAAAATTCCTGGATACATTAGCAAAGTTTCATGGAGAGATAATGAAAAGTTTGGCACCTCAATCAAACCCTACCATTTCCTGAACTTGTTCCCTGGGAAAAGAAAAGATACAAATGCAAAACATTCCAGGACATCAAAAGGCAACAGTTCAGATCTTGCCTGACGTGCATACAAAGTTGCAAGAAATCTATTGAACAGTTTTTGGGTAATGCTCTTGAAAAGAATCCACCCCACATATGAGAAACCTCCCGAAATGTAAAACAAGGGCCATAAATAACATTTATGAAACTTGACAACATATTCATCACATAATTAATGATGTATTCAAAACATCATCTGTAGTGGTTTCAGAGAAACGTATCCCCATTGGTTCTGTGTACTTGTCCAAAATATCTATCAAGGGCTGTAACAAGGGCTGTAACATATCTATCAAAGACTGTAACAAGGGCTGTAACATATCTATCAAAGACTGTAACAAGGGCTGTACAATATCTATCAAGGGCTGTAACAAGGGCTGTAACATATCTATCAAGGGCTGTAACATATCTATTAGGGGTTGTAACATATCCTTCAACGGCTGTAACATATCTATCAAGGGCTATAACAAGGGCTGAAACATATCTATCAAGGGCTGTAACAAGGGCTGTACAATTTCTATCAAGGGCTGTAACAAGGGCTGTAACATATCTATAAAGGGCTGTAACAAGGGCTGTAACATATCTATCAAGGGCTGTAACATATCTATCAAGGGCTGTAACAAGGGCTGTAAAATATCTATCAAGGGCTGTAACAAGGGCTGTAACATATCTATCAAGGGCTGTAACATATCTATCAAGGGCTGTAACAAGGGCTGTAAAATATCTATCAAGGGCTGTAACAAGGCCTGTAACATATCTATCAAGGGCTGTAACATATCTATCAAGAGCTATAACAAGGGCTGTAACATATCTATCAAGGGCTGTAACATATCTATCAAGGGCTGTAACATAGCAAGGGCTGTAACAAGGGATGTAACATATCTATCAAGGGCTGTAACAAGGGCTGTAAAATATCTATCAAGGGCTGTAACATATCTATCAAGGGCTGTAACAAGGGCTGTAACATATCTATCAAGGGCTGTAACAAGGGCTGTAACATATCTATCAAGGGCTGTAACATATCTATCAAGGGCAGAAAAATATCTATCAAGGGCTGTAACATATCTATCAAGGGCTGTAACAAGGGCTGTAAAATATCTATCAAGGGCTGTAACAAGGGCTGTAACATATCTATCAAGAGCTGTAACAAGGGCTGTAAAATATCTATCAAGGGCTGAAACAAGGGCTGTAACATATCTATCAAGGGCTGTAACAAGGGCTGTAAAATATCTATCAAGGGCTGTAAAATATCTATCAAAGGCTGTAACAAGGGCTGTCACATATCTATCAAGGGCTGTAACAAGGGCTGTCACATATCTATCAAGGGCTGTAACAAGGGCTGTAACATTTCTATCAAGGGCTGTAACATAGCAAGGGCTGTAACAAGGCCTGTAACATATCTTTCAAGGGCTGTAAAATATCTATCAAGGGCTGTAACAAGGGCTGTAAAATATCTATCAAGGGCTGTAACATATCTAACAAGGGCTGTAACATATCTATCAAGGGCTGTAACAAGGGCTGTAAAATATCTATCAAGGGCTGTAACATAACAAGGGCTGTAACAAGGCCTGTAACATATCTATCAAGGGCTGTAACAAGGGCTGTAAAATATCTATCAAGGGATGTGACATATCTAACAAGGGCTGTAACATATCTATCAAGGGCTGTAACAAGGGCTGAAAAACATCTATCAAGGGCTGTAACATATCTATCAAGGGCTTTAATATATCTATCAAGGGCAGATAAATATCTATCAAGGGCTGTAACATATCTATCAAGGGCTGTAACAAGGGCTGTAACATATCTATCAAGGGCTGTAACAAGGGCTGAAAAACATCTATCAAGGGCTGTAACATATCTATCAAGGGCTGTAACATATCTATCAAGGGCAGATAAATATCTATCAAGGGCTGTAACAAGGGCTGTAACATATCTATCAAGGGCTGTAACAAGGGCTGTAAAATATCTATCAAGGGCTGTAACATATCTAACAAGGGCTGTAACATATCTAACAAGGGCTGTAACAAGGGCTGTAAAATATCTATCAAGGGTTGTAACATAGCAAGGGCTGTAACAAGGGCTGTAACATATCTAGCAAGGGCTATAACAAGGGCTGTAAAATATCTATCAAGGGCTGTAACATAACAAGGGCTGTAACAAGGCCTGTAACATATCTATCAAGGGCTGTAACAAGGGCTGTAAAATATCTATCAAGGGATGTGACATATCTAACAAGGGCTGTAACATATCTATCAAGGGCTGTAACAAGGGCTGAAAAACATCTATCAAGGGCTGTAACATATCTATCAAGGGCTTTAATATATCTATCAAGGGCAGATAAATATCTATCAAGGGCTGTAACATATCTATCAAGGGCTGTAACAAGGGCTGTAACATATCTATCAAGGGCTGTAACAAGGGCTGAAAAACATCTATCAAGGGCTGTAACATATCTATCAAGGGCTGTAACATATCTATCAAGGGCAGATAAATATCTATCAAGGGCTGTAACAAGGGCTGTAACATATCTAAGAAGGGCTGTAACAAGGGCTGTAACATATCTATCAAGGGTTGTAACATAGCAAGGGCTGTAACAAGGGCTGTAACATATCAACAAGGGCTGTAACAAGGGCAGTAAAATATCTACCAAGGGCTGTAACAAGGGCTGGAACATATTTTTTCTTGATGTTGTTTCTCAAACTAAATCACCATTTTATCCCTCTATGACGAGTGCAAAATGTCATCCTTGTAGGGCTGGGACTGGTGACTCAGGGAGGGTTTGTACTAAGTAGGACCCGGGTACCCACAGGACTACCCGAACCCGTGGTTAGTCACGTGATTATTTAGTTTAATGGCCAAAATTATCTATGGTTATACTATAAGTGACAAATGTTCACATTTCTCTCCGACTATGAATACATTCCCTCTGACTTTACATATATGTATATGTTTGCATAAAGATAAAACTTCAGTCAACTTCAGTGTATGCATGACCAGATCATTTTATACCTGTATCTAAATACATTTTGACAGGAGTACGGTCAAACGTTTCCCAATTGGACATTTTGTACCTCTCTTGAGACCTACATAGGGTACCTGGGTAGGGTCAGGTAATAGGGGTAGGTGTGGTGGGTATCTGGGTAGTAAATTTGGACGCGTCCCAGCCCTACATCCTTGTATTTAAAGTGGTTTCCAAGAAAACATGTCCAAAAGATCAAACAAGGACCTTCACTGTAAAGTATTAATTTCTGATGATTTTCAAACTTGATTAATATATTTATCACTTAATCATGTTAAGCATGTTAAGCACTATTAATAATATTTTCAAAATTTCATCCTTGTTCCCTAAAAATACTTGTACACATTGAAAGGTTGGAAGGACAGCTGGATTGATCAGTACGTGTATGCCATAGCCTAACTTCAGGGACGCCCGTGAAGATGCAGGTTAAACTTGTTCTTCAGCAACCCATGCATGCCTAAGAGGCGACTAACAGGATCAGGTGATCAGACTCACAGACTTGGTTGATGCATGTCACTGTAACCTAACTGCTTAGCTCCATGCTCATTATCAATAACTTGATTTTCTGGTCCAGACTTTATCATTTAATTTATATATACTTCACCATGGAGGATAATAAGGTGACAGAACCAAAAAAAGTCACATACATAAATTGAAAATAAGGCTTAAAAAATAAAAGAATTGGTTCTCAGGCAATGTTTTTTGAAAATATAGTGCGGGCGGGCGGTGTCTTTTTTGGGAGGGGGGGGGGGGGTTCAAACTAGTATGTAACCAATGAACAGTTGTGTAATCAATAAGCAATTCTGTAAAATCAACCTAGGAAAGGGCATCCCTATATAAATGTATTCCTTTATGAATAAAATACTGGAATACAGTATTTGACTACCTTTGGGCTTGGAATATTTAAGGATTTTTTCATATTTTTTTAAAATTGGAAATAAAAACGAAACGTGCAGCGAACTTTATAATGATGCGGGCGGTGCCTGAGAACCAAGACTATTTATTTTTTTAGCCTAAGTAAATAAGTATAAATTAATTCTTAGATTTTCAAGGAAAAAAAGTATATTTGACAGGATTCATTTTATTCAAATGATTATATTTCTTTAAACAAACTGTTCCAGGCATCTCTGCACATAAAGTATTGACAGATCATGTGATCTGCACAAAGTAGGAACGCTTGGTAGAACTACGCATTATACAGAATATTTCACCCAGTAAAGTAAAAGGCAACATGTTGTGATTTTCTTTGTCTGTAGACGCCTGGTGACATGATTTGGGTGGTTGTCAAATGATTGTGGTGAGGCGGATGGAGACAAGAATCAAATAATTGATTCATTATGGCTTCGCATCTATTTTATATTTGCGCATCCCTTCATGTGTGTGGCTGCTTGCACTTGTCCAGACATATGCCAGTTTTATAGTATAAGCCCACTGAGAAACTGTACGTGCGACAGTTTAACATGGATATCTCAGACACAGACACAATATACAGACTCTGAACTGACCAGTCCTTGCCAGGCAGGGTAACAACAAGTGCCATCTTTCTAAGACATGATAGGGGAGTGAGGGGTTGTCAGTACAATATGATATAGTTCTAAGACCAATCCCCCCCCTATAATAAATGACCATGCAGTTACTTACCAAACGTTGAATTCATTACATTTGGATACAAATGGCAGTTTAATTGCCATAAATACTACTTTCAATAGGACTGTTGTCGCGGTTACGTCGAAAACTGGTTTCCAAACTCTTGAAACAATTCAGGTGCGATCTTTAGTGGTAACAAGCACGTGAAGTTCCAACTTCACTGATCCATACATTTCTGGGGAGACGACGAGAAACTTAAATTCGTTTTGAGCATGGTCAAAGTGCAAAGGTCAAAGCAAGGCCAAAATATCGCAACATAATGGAACAGGTAATGTTGAGCACCACGAATGACTACACATATGCCAATTTTGAATTTTCCTTTCATATTTAACTGGTCCGTTTCGACAACATCTTGTCTTGTTTGGGCAAAAACTGTTAACTGAAGTGTTTTGTTACAAATCACTTATCCGTTTTGAGTACCACACACTTATCGTGAACTGAATAGAAAATGACCTGTAGACACTGCTTCACACGACATGAACTGTGCATGCTGTCGTGGGTACTTGTGTCGGTCAAGAAACGACCTGGTAACACGCCGCACAAATCCGTGATAGAGCGACGCCATTTTGAACAATTGTGTATGTGATATCACGTGATACCACCACAGTGTGATGATCGAGAGTGAGTTGAAATTGGTGCAGTTTCAAACGGCACCTCAGCAAAACGGCGCGGAATTCATCTATAGAAAACATCTATATTCCATCATGAGTGAGTGAGTGAGACAATTATATGTTTTTCTTTCTTAAACTTGAGTGAGAGAATGACTGACCGAGCAAGCATGTTTTTTTCTGCCAGGTTTAGCAATATTTCAGTACTATCACGGCAGAGGTTACAAGAAAAGGGCTTTATCTTACATCATGACTAAAATGAACGAAAAGAAGGGAATTTTCCGCCTTCAAGAGAAAATCTTACTTTGAGCAAATCCGTGACCATCATGATTGTTTAACCATATATTTGTACTGTTTGGTTCTGAATCTCCAATGTAAATCAGATAGGGTCAAAGGCTTGCTCATATTCCAATGTAAATGCTTCATGAAAACCTCTAACATCAGTCTTTTCGGAACATTTTCAACCAAATGTCAAACATGCATTAAATGAACAAAGTCTAAATCTCATTTATGTGAACATATCTGTTATAGCAATTAATAAAAGTTTCACTAATTTCTAATGCAGATCAATTGGGCCAAAAGGGGGCTGTGTGGAGAGCCGGTCTCTGGGCCGGGTCTAAAAGTGAGAAGCTTGCAGTAAAATAAAGGCTTAATTTTGGAAATATCAGTTGCGACCTAAACACGGGATCGATCATTTTAATATTCTGACAATGACAATTATTTTCTCTAAAAGGAGAAGCCAGATATTTATTTGCGACCCGGATGATCAAACATACATGAAACCGGATGACAAACGCGGCTTTCAGAGATAGTTTACGTCCGCTTCAGTATATCGGATGGCATTTATGTTGATGTGCATGCTATTTTTAATTTGTAGATTTTTTGTTTCCAAGGCAACAAGTTGGACTTAGGTTCAGATGTGCCTTGTGATATTCGGGTATTTAAAAGTTTCAGCTTTAGCTCTTTTATGGATGTCTGTCCCGTGCTAAACTCATAAACATTAACCTATACTTGATAATTTCCATCACGTTAATGTATGTTAAAATTAAGTGCATTAAAATCGCTACGGCTAAGTAGAATCTGTGATTAAACACTATGGTAGCAACGAAGCCTACTTTTGAAACTGTTTACTTGTGACTCTCTCCACATTGCCCCTTTCTTAAAGTTCAGATTATGTTAGAACATTCTTAAATAGATTCTTCTAAACAACACCCGATAAGAGGTGAGGTGAAATGGGTTTAATGTCGCGTTCGAGATGATTGCACTTATATAACGACGCCAGCGTGCGTGCGTGCGTGTGTCTGTCTGCTTGTACTAGTCCGGACTAAAGCCGATTTTATAGTGCTAGCCCACTGAGACACCATGCCGCAGTTTAACATGAATACTCTACTCAGACACAATATACTGACTCCGACCAGTCCATGTTTTAGCCCCTTAGCACCATACAGGGTAACAACAAGTACTATCTTTGAACATCTTTTGGTATGACTCGGCCGGGCAGACGCTCAACCACTAGACCATGCACGGAGACGGCCTACGCGATGTTTAGACTGTCCAGACTCTCGTGACCCTTTAACATGTTTTGCATATCAAACGAGGAATGAATATAAGTAGAAGCTTCCTCATGAGACCACGCGGTCTCTAGCAGAACACAGTGTTGTTGGGGTGAATTTGGATTTTTAAGAAACAAATTCAACTACAAACATTCTATGTGTTTAATTAGAAACCTACTGGGTCATTAGTCAGCCCACTTGGTTTCCTCAAAGAAAATGATAGGTAGGCCTACGGCAGGTGTTTTGAATTATGACAACGTAAGGATAAGATTTATGGATGAACAACGTTTTTAATATTACAATTAGGATCGCTTGTTTGCTTGACGATCACTTGCTTGATAAAAGTATTAGAACCTACACCGAAACGTCGCTCCTAATTGTAATAAAGAAGTTGTTCATCCATATATCTTATCCTTACTTGGTTGGTTGGTTGGTTTGTTGTTTAACGCCGCACTCAGCAATATTCCAGCTATATGACGGCGGTCTGTAAATAATCGAGTCTAGACCAGACAATCCAGTGATTGATATCATGAGCATCGATCCAGGCCATTGGGATCGATGACATGCTTCAACAAAGTCAGCGAGCTTGACCACCCGATCCCGTTAGTCGCCTTTTACGACAAGCAGAGTCACCCTTTACGGCAAGCATGGGTTGCTGAAGAGCTATTCTACCCCGGTTCTTCACGGGTCCCTTACTTAGTACTCCAACTTCTAAATGCCTCCCAAAGAAGTCATGGCAACGTACGCGTTTATAATATCAGAACGATGCATTTGGTCATATTATCTCAAAACACCAAACACAACAGCTTGCTCTTGTTTGGTTCCAAAGTGAAACGAGAGTTATCTAATCTACAGCTGCATCTGTAAATACAAAACACACGTTTATCTTGATCTCATAAATCATAAAGTATATTTAGATCTCTTGAATTGATATGCCTTAAAAATTAGTTGTTATTATTGAATTTGGTTGTTATAGCATAAACTGTGTTGACCTTTCGGCGTCACTCGATCGTCGAGGGACGAATGTAGCTGATTTGCTCTTCCGATTTAGGATGTTGCCGTTTTGGCCGATTCCAGGAACGTCGCTGTGTGGAGCTTGTATTGATGTATGTCACGTGATTATCCGCACATGAAAACAAACACTTCCCAAGTTATGTAAGATCTGATTCGACGTTATCTACATAGATTGTCAACGTCACACCGTACTTGGCATGTTGCAGTACTTTGGAGACATGGGGAACAGTTTGATCAAAGCAGCAGCTCTAGATTTTGGCGCCCAGTGGGCGTGTTGGGCGGTGGCTGCAGCACTGCGGACTGAGAAGTTCTATGACCTAGCAGGTTGGTTCAGGGTAGTTCACCTCGACCGCCATATAATCAGACATCTGAGATCACACGTCGGCCGTGTGAGTGACAGTAGTACATTGGGATGCCGTACATTTACTAAGTATGTCAAATGTGTTCATATGGGTATGTACGTGGTCTATGCCCATAAAGCAGTAGGATATATATTACGCTGAAGGGGTCGTTGTCGGCACGGTTTCTACAGCTATGTAAGGCAGGTACGTTGTGTATACAGAAATATATCCCAGCCAAAATCAGAATTCAGTAAGTTAGCCGGTACCCTAAACGGCAGACAAGTCCATATTCCACAACCCGATATAGAAACCGTTTCATGTCTGATTACAAGCGCAGGTCTTCAGCAACCCAAGAAGACTATGCTTGTCGTGAGAGGTGACTAACGGGATCGGGTGGTTGATGCATGTCATCATGTCCCAATTGTGTAGATGCTCATGATGTCAATCACTCGATTGTCTCGTCCAGACTTGATTATTTAGAGATCGCCGTCGTATAGCTGGAATATTGCTGAGTGTTGCTTTCATCAACAAACAAACAAACCGTCAATAATCTTTTTTTGAATTTTGCTTGCTATTCAGTCCTTGTCATGATATTTCAAACTAGACCATTGTATGAACATACAATCATGATGTGCATCTTAATTAATTAAATATCATCTTAAAACTTCTTCCATTTTATTTCAAGTTCATGTACCTCATGAAATAAGGTTTCACTGTGCCATCGCTAGGCTGGAGATGGGTCAGTCTTATTCCCCCCAGGACATAAACTTGATATGTAATAGAAACATGTTTAATATCCTATTAATATGTTGTGTGTTTCAGGTTCTGGTACATTTTTCCTGTTGGCATGGCAGAGCCTGAAATGGGGAAACACGTTTCATCCTCGACAAAGAGTGGCGACGGGTATGGTTATGGCGTGGGCATGTAGGTAGGTGAAACTGATCTTTTGGGAGCCACAGACTACATGATAGCGATGGTTACTGGTATCACTGTGTAATAGGCGCGCCTTGCCTGAGGCGGCCCAGTGACAGCAGAGTTCACTGGCTTCACAGAGTGTTCTAGTTCGAATCCCACTGCTGACTCACGGCCCTTTGCGTTGTGTTTTATTTAATGTTAACTGTCTGGTTTAACCGTGAACCAGCTAACTGGGGACACTCCTGTGAGACTCTGTGGTTGGGTTCATGCATCCGGCGAGTGAAAAAGGACAATAAAGACTTGTTGAAAATATAATGAATTTTTAATACAACAAAAGTAAACTGATTAACAAAATATAAAATGAAGAAGTCCAACAATCTTACGGAAGAAAGCTATCTATTCCTACCCTAAACCTACTTAATCCTAACCCTACTTCTCCCCCACTGAAACCCCCCTTACACAAACTATATAAATAAATCTACCTACATTTTGATTTCTCCCCAACCCAGCTACATCAAACCTATTCTATAACTTAACTAGTGAGACGTCTTGTTAAACAAGAGACTGTAACTAACTTTCCCCGCACCGGAGTGGACTTACGTGTCAGGGAATCCCGAGATCTTAAGACACTGAATGCTGCGGTACCAGGTCCTTATATACCACTAGGCTGACCCTTGACCCGATTAGGGAAAACTCCTGTCGTACAGCCATTGGCCAGCAACGCTGATCGCGACCAATCAGGGCGTTCCTACCATATTGTGCTCGGCGCATCATAGCTCGTGGCGGAACATACAACACGTGGCTCGAGCACTCAAGTAGGAAAACTTCATGTTTTAGGATGCATAACTGTTATGAAAATACCCCAAAGGAAAGTTTTGGCTGTATTTAAAGATAAATGGTTCGGGAACTAGTGTATAATATTTTATAGAATTTGCACTCTGATAGAACCTGCATCGGCTGGTGGGAAATCAGACTTCAGTGGACCATCATGAAGGCATGGATCATAGCACTTTATGTGAGAAAAGAAGATGACAGACGGAGAGAGTGGAACAGTACATAGCTGCCTGCAATTTCACAGCTACAGTCAAAATAATGCTTGACTTCCATAAGAAAAATAAAATTAATAATAAGGCTAAAATAAAAATAGTCTTGGTTCTCAGGCACCGCCCGCATCATCATAAAGTTCGCCGCACGTTTCGTTTTTATTTCCATTCAAAAAAAATAAAATTTAAAATCCTCAAATATTCCAAGTCCAACAGTGGTCAAATACTGTATTCCAGTATTTTACTCATCAAGGAATACATTTATGTAGGGAGACCCTTTCCCGGGTTGATTGTACACAATTGTTTAATGATTACACAACTGTTTATTGGTTACATACTTGTTTGACCAACCAAAAACAAAGACACCACTCGCCCTCACTATATTTTCAAAAAAAATTGCCCGAGGACCAATTCTTATATTTTTTAAAGCCTAACGTAAATTACAATACAAAAAAAGATTTTAACCATATTAAAAGAATTAGAAAGCTGTGTGGGAAAACATTCCTTATCAATTAATGTTGTCCAGAAAGTTTCATTGGACATTACTATGTGCACACATGGTTGTATCTTGGCATTGTTGGATGGTGATAGTCTGCCTCAAGTCTGCAACAAATCTTAGTAAAAAATCTCTTTATTGGAATTAAAGATATTCCACTTATGGTTTTTATGTATCTTAATGTGATATGTTATATGTTACATGGTTTGACAGTATCAATTATTGTAGTGGATCCAATATTAGAATACCTCTGAATCTTAAAAAAGTCCCAATTTCGGACGACAAAGAAATGTTTTTCCCCAACTTGCCCAGGATGGGGCTTCCTTTAGAATCTTTGATAAATTCCTGATACTTTTATTTCTACAGTAAAAGGGTACGTGTGTGTTATGTTAATACTTATGTTGTCAAAAATGTTCTTCACATTAGATCATGGCTAAATCACATTGCAGAGTTACTTCCCTCAGTCATGTGAGAATTGGTACATAAAAGACATGTATAGGAATGTGTAAGGAATGTTACAGCTGTATTTATAACTGTTCTTCTTTCAGGCTCGGTATGTACCTGTTCACGAGAATCCTGAAGGATGGGAAAGACAGGAGGTTTAACAATGTTCGTGACAAGCCTGGAGTTTTCCTAGCTTACTGGACAATTCAGGGTAAATCTTGTCAGTGTGATAGCTCTCGAGTAAACCAGGTCTTGGGTTCTATTATCAGACCATCTCATAGCTGTATGTTGTTCATACTGCAGCGTGCAATATTTCATCTGACTTTGAAGGGGCAGTGGGGTAGGCCGGTGGTTAAAGCATTTGCTTGTCACACCAAAGACTGGGTTGGATTCCCCTCATGGGTACAATATGTGAGGTCCCCAGCTGGAATATTGCTAAAAGTGTCGTAAAACAGTACTCACTTGCTGCTGCGTATGATCAGTCAAGTCTGGACCACACAAACCAGTGGTTTATATTATGAGCAACTTCCAGCACCATTAACATGATAAAGCACCAGGGGTAAGATGGCACGATCAGCCAAATCACTGTGTCTGACGATCCCATACGATCCAATTTAGTTGTCTCTTAGTCTCACAACAAGCAGTAGAGGTCCCATTCTGACCCAGGCCCCGGAGGAGGTATTGAATAGTTTGAGAATAAAGTTCATGGAGTTAATGTTAAGTGCTTGATTATGCTGGTTGTAAGTGGCAACCAAATGGATTGGGTGGTCAGGCTCAGTTGTCAGTGTGTCCTCATACCCTGATGGCATGGATCGTTGCTCACAATATCAATCACTGGATTTTCTTGTCCAGGCTTGATTATTTACAGGCTGCTGTTATTTATTTGGAATATTGCTGAGTGTGTTAAACAACAAACAGACAAACAAAGAAATGATTGCCTGATTTGTACATTAACCAAGTAATGGACTTGTTATGTTTTCTTAGAGTTTTGTATTTGTGCTGTTTTTAGTGTTTTCATGGAAATATTATTGAACTTGAATAATATTTAGGTTTCTGTCTAAATTAACTGATGACATGATGTTAGTGGAGGTGTTTCATAAGGAAAGCATTAATCAATAGGCCACAGGAGAGAGCACCAGGAAAGTCTACTGGTGCTGTAAACATGGTAAGTGTCAGGCATCTCTAGTGGTTCTTGAGAAGATTTACTTTGGGATTATGTTTGAAACTTTCAAAGACGTATGTTTTGTCCCAATGCACTCACACTGCATGATCATTTGTGTCCATTGACATTTTAGGAGTATATGACACAAACTTAAAGCCTGTTGACGTCATCGAATAAAACTAGTGAAGACTCTCAGAATGCATTTGTACTGGTTTCCCAGGGTCTTGCATGTCCATTCTCCATGATAAATACCCTGGATTCACACCTGGATTCATAGTTTCATTTCAGAAGTGAGCACAGAATTTCAATCACTCATCATCTTGAAATCACCATCCAATTAATAGGCCTCTTCTGAGCATTAGTTCAGCATAGATCTATAATGAAAATCGTTGTCTAGCCCTTGATTTATCCAATCAACTAAGAACACTGTTATGATTAAGCTTATTGCTGTAAATGATGTTCTCCTGATTATAAAGATTGGAAGAGAAGTCCTAGTCTATTGTCCAGACCCAAGCGAATTTAGTAAGGAATCCAACTCAAGTCTAGAGTGGTTTGGCAAGTCTAGATTGCCTCAACATATTTCTGAGCTCCATTAAGATTTAACAGTCAGATGACTGATGGCCTATCATAAAGCCATTCCTGTTGAACTGGACTGAAACTGGACTCAAAACAAAGCAATGCTGGTGAATGGGTGCAGGGTATATATACAGAATGACTATGTTGTACATTGGGTAATGTAGGATGGCTGACACTGGGGGGAGGATTGTGCCCAATAGGCAGTGTTATTTATGAAGGTGCTGACACTGTTTGCAGGAGTGTGGGTGATGTCGACCCTCCTTCCTGTGTTGATGCTCAACAGTAAGAAGGAGGACAAGCCAGTCTCCACCAGGGACTACATAGGCTGGGCGCTCTGGGCACTCGGCTTCTTTTTTGAGGCTGTAGGAGACTACCAGAAATCTGCTTTCAGAGCAAATCCAGACAATGCTGTAAGTATCCATCTCGATTAGACATAATAGTTTACTGTAATAATAATGATAAAAAAAAATACACTGTGCGTCAGGAATGGAATGATGCCCTCTGCATCAGTCAACAAAACACTGAAGCACATGTTTAATGAAAGTAGGTCTTGAAAAAGTGAGTTTTAAGTTGTTTTCTGAAAACAGTATCACAGTATCAGTACCGATATTTACTACTCAAAAGAAGTTAAAGAACACCTGATTTCTACATATTACTTTAGTTGATCTGTCATAGTCATATGTCAAAAACGGGTGTTCTTTAACTTCCTTTGAGTTCTACATATGTATATTCTAAGGAAAAAATTTTTAAAGTTTGTTTGAGGCATCAGCATTTCAAAATCATTCAGAGGATCCTGGCATGGCCAAGACAACTTTTGACAGCAAATTGCATTGCGTAAAAACTCCACATTATATCTATAGAAGTATAGATTGATTCTTTGTTTCTTGATAAATAATGATAGTATTTCATTCTTGCAGGGAATGTTTATTCAACACGGATTGTGGAGTCTTTGCCGACATCCCAACTACTTTGGTGAAATTCTGATGTGGACGGGCTTATATATTACATCATCGAAAGCCCTGAGTGGATTCGAGCACATCAGCATCATTTCGCCCATATTCTTATCTTTTCTTCTCACACAAGTCAGTGGAATTCCACTTTTAGAAAAATATGCCTCCAAAAAGTGGGGTTCTAATCCTCAGTATCAGCTGTATGTAAAGAACACAGCTAAACTTGTGCCCTATATCTGGTGAACATGGTAACCATGACAACAGGAAGATGAAAAGGATGATATTTGTATGAAGATTTGTGTGTGTGTGATCAAAGTAGCAGCATGCCATGTCAGGGAATTATAGATTATTTTTCAATTTGTATTTTGTATGATTAGTTTTTTACACATATATATCTCAGATGGCATTACGGGTCCACACTTTTTTTTATTTTGTGGTTTATAGGTTTGCTAACAGATTGGTTAAATAAGAATAAAATTTTGTTTGTGTAGCTTGATTTTATTTTTTTTTCTTTGGCATTAAACTGTTTTGGTCCGTACATATTACGGACCAAATAAATAAGAATTCATTTAAATTTGTAGATGTTGTTGACCCAAAAATATGGTCAATTATTTTTAACAATGTTAATAAAGTATCTTTGAATAACTGGTGTTTTGTGAGACTTTTGTAGCTGTGTCTTTTTATATTCCATATCCATCAAGGGACAGTTGTAAGGAAAATAAGAATACATTCAAACTATTTTGATGTATTTTTCAAATCTGAAAATCAAAAAAGTGTTGGCCTGGTTTGCCTGATAGCCAGCATAACTATTTTCTATTGAAATAAAATATTTTATTATTATTAACACTGCTTTCTGTTGTTTCTGAAGGTGAACTAGGCCTCCTTGAAGTGATTTGGTTATATTTTGGTGTAAACTGTTGAAGCAAGGGATGGTGAGGTTGATGAAGATGTGTAAATTCCAGTTTTCAATATATTCTTGTTTCTCATGACTTTGCAACATTGATCGAGACATAGTTACTAACTTGTGAACTCCGACCCCTTAACCCCTACTAAGCTTCACCCAGAAATCAATGTGTACTGAACTATATCGTGAAATCAGTAAATACCAACACGATATCAATGAATAATTAATGGAAGTATATTGAAACACACAGGATTTGGTTTATAAATCATAAATACAAATTGGTCAAATATGTGTCAGCAGCTATATATAAAATGCCTTATTAAATAAGTCTGTGCATTCACGAATGTCCAGTATCTATTACAGTGGAATTACTTGAACGAGGCACCTGCTCTCTTCTTGAATCCAGGATTCCTCCATGCATCCAGGATTCCTCCATGCATCCGGCATACCACGTAATGTGTCTTTGCACCAATTTCCGAACTCTTGTGTCATAGCAGTGGACATACACAGTTGAGACCTGGTTGGAACAATCATATTAGACTGGGATTTCCACATAAAATGCCAGGGGAAAAAGAAAGTACAAAAGAAAGTTAGATGGTGGCTAAAAATGAAACAAACAAGACATGGTTATTCCAGGCTGATGTAATGAGCAGAGTGAAGCAGGTATTGTCATGATCAGTGTGAGTTGGTTCACAGATACCAGACATTCATTCAGCTGCCTAGTTTTGATGATCGGTTTTTGGACAAATCCAATTTTTAAGTGAATACTTGGTTTTGCCTGGACGTTGAGAATGCATGAGCATGCATGTTCATAAACTTAATGCTCAATATTTGATTGATTTCTCACTGCTTGCAAGAAAAAAAGTCTGAAAAATATATATCAACATTGACATATTGACATCCGCTTAACAGATAAAAATTGTATGGCATTCAGTGTACTGCGACCTCAGGAATAACAATTAGATATCTAATAGGTCTTGACATCTGATGTATCAATTCGGGGTAGGCACCCTCAAACAATGCTGTTGGGCGGTGTGGTAGCCTAGTGGTTAAAGCATTCGCTTGTCACGCCAAAGACCCAGGTTCGATTCTTCACATGGGTACTATGTTTGAAGCCCATTTCTTGTGCCCCCCCACCCTTATATTGGTAGAATATTGCTTAAAAACGGCGTAAATCAATACTGACTCACTCAAACAATATTGGAAGCAGTCAGAATATGTTTTTAGATATGTATCCCGTTCACACTGGACATGTAGAAAAGTCGCATGTCGTGTCGTGGGCCTCGAACCGCCCTCGTGTCGTTCTAATAGTGATACAGCCAGCCTTCTAGAAAGTGTAACAACGCAAAGTTCCCGAATGGGGGAGTCAGTCCTGGAAGTGATTCGACGGCGGATCTCTCCATACTGGGAAGATAACAACGGTGTCAAGCACTGTAACAAAGCTTGAACTGTAGACAACTAGGGGAGGTCACTCTATTTTATGAGCGCTTCAAATAGCTGCCTCCAACAATCATCAGAAACAGCCTTGCAAGGTCTACAAAACTCCACATAACACCCTCTCATTTCAAGAGATGAAAGTGTGAAAACAGTGGAAATATGAAAATGGATAATATCAAGTATTAACGAGTTTAAGCAACGCATTCTATTACACATGTAAAGTGAACATAAAATACATGTTCTCATTATACTCGCGTTATCAGCAAAACTACATGTCGTAGTGATCCAGTCAACTGCCTCCAGAAAGCGCATTTGCAAATGACCGCCTCCGTGGTCTAGTAGTAGAGCGTCTGCCGGAGAGCGGAATGTCCGGGGTTCGATCCTCGACCACTTCATACCTAAATACGTTGAAAGATGGTACGCTCGGCATTAAGGGGCTAAAACAATTATTTGATAAGTTCGGAGTCAGTATACAGTGTCTGAGTCGGGTATTCCTGGTATCTCAGTGGGCTAGCACTATACAATCGGCGTCAGTCTGGACTAGCACAAGCAGCCACACACACATACACACACATACGTACGTGCAGGTCGTGGTATAAGTGGAATACTCTTGGACGCGACATTAAACCCCATTCCACCTCCACCCCAACTGCATCTGCATTGTCTTTGCCCTGGTACAGTGGAGCTCAACTGTGGCACTTCAATAAAGGAACTATAAGAAACGATACTAATACAATCATGTTTGTTTGCATTTTACACCTGTTACACTGAAACAGCATTAAAGCAACGGCAAACGTTAACACGCATTTCACAGCGGAGTGCAGGTGATATGTTCATGATAGATCTACTTTCCAGCCGAATGGCCGGCGGAGTAACACACAGTTGCGGCCTGGGTGGTTCAGGATGGCTGTAACTGGCGACACAGATACCAGCTGTCGTCACTTCAAGGCCAGCCGGACCGCAACTTTGTGTCATTCCGTCCGTGACATGTAATCAATCAAGTCACGAAGCCTGCACACCCAATCCTAGACTAACATCTAGTCTCTGAAATGAACATATCGTACAGAAAAAAACAGTTGTTCAGTTATCTTAATAAAAATATAATAAAAGGGAGCCTAGTGACTCTCTCCAGATACTCGAGTAATCTAGACTTGCCAAACATTATAGACTTGCATGGGCTGAATTTGATATATATTTGTATCAGGGTCTGTAAGACAGACTAACTCAATCCAAATCAGTCGCCTCCAAGGAAATGCAAGAGAGCGGGGACCAGTTCTAACCCTGGCCCCAACAGGGTGGTTTAACGATTAGCTTACAATACACAGGCGCATGTGTATTCGTGGTTTGAATTATCAATGTGGCTAGGAGTTTCAAACAACTATTTAACCAATTGTTATGCATTTATTCCATGACATAATTGATCTCTTAAATTCATTGTACAAAAATGTATTTCAGAAATATATAATTTCTTAATATGATTTTTAAAACAAAAGGGTAAATAGTATACAAAAATGTAAAAACGTGGCCAGTTATGAGTTTTTCCATTCCATTCCATATACGTTTATAACGAACACGCTTATAACGAACTGACGGATATAACGAACTTGTTTGGACCCGGCCATTTGCTGTATATTCGCTGTATATATGCTTATAACGAACTAAAATTAGTGGTCAATTTGATTTCGTTATAACCGTAGTTTACTGGAATCGAATGGAGATACTAATAACTGGCCACGTTTTTACATTATGTATACTATTTACCTTTTGGTATGCAGAGCCTTTCAATGTATATGGGCCCAGGAGTTAAGTTTCTGATCTGCTAAAAATCTAAAATGTCATTGTTTCTTGAGTATGCTGTCTGTCGCACTTTTGTTGAGAACCAATCAGTTTGGCTAAGCTGGGGCAACCGGCTTTTTCTCCTCCCCTTCTGCCCCGCTCATTGCCATGACATTGGCGGCGATAAACTTGCCGACATTACCGCAGACCGTCATCTCGCAAACAGTTTGCATGTTGGTCAAATCTCCATTCATGCCGTTGTTGGGGTTGTAGCCGCCGTTCATGCCGTTATTGGGGTTGTAGCCGCCGTTCATGCCATTGTTTGGGTTGAAACCGCCGTTCATGCCGTTGTTGGGGTTTAAAGCACCGTTCATGCCGTTGTTGGGGTTGTAGCCGCCGTTTATTCCATTGTTGGGGTTTAAACCACCGTTCATGCCGTTGTTGGGGTTGTAGCCGCCGTTTATTCCATTGTTGGGGTTTAAACCGCCGTTCATGCCGTTGTTGGGGTTGTAGCCGCCGTTTATTCCATTGTTGGGGTTTAAACCACCGTTCATGCCGTTGTTGGGGTTGTAGCCGCCGTTCATGCCGTTGTTGGGGTTGAAACCGCCGTTCATGCCGTTGTTGGGGTTATAGCCGCCGTTCATGCCATTGTTGGGGTTGTAGCCGCCGTTCATGCCGCCTTGGGTCATCATCAGTCTCTGCACACACTCATTGACGGCGTACTGGGAACATGCCTGGCGCCTTGTCAAATGTTCTGCAAAGGAGACGAACCGTGTTCACACTAAACTTACGTTAATGGATATAAGAGTATAGCAATGGTAGTCTGAGATGGAAGAGTGTTGAACGTAGATGAACACATCCACTTCTCAACCCCAGATAAATATGAGTGAGTGAGATAGTTTGATTTTACTTTTAGCAATATTCCAGCAATATCACGGCGGGGAGACAAATATGAACAATCTCTAACTGACCAGCCCCTTGTCGTGATTTCCTGAACCTCCGCAGTGTCCATTCTCACTGAAATCAGATCCTTCATTCCGACACGACACGTCTCTGTGAAGCACTGAGGATAGTCTGTCTTACAGACCCTGATACAAATATATATCAAATACAGCCCATGCAAGTCTATAATGTTTGGCAAGTCTAGATTACTGCAGTATCAGGCTGAATATTATATTTTTATTAAGATAACTGAACAACTGTTTTTTTTCTGTACGATATGTTCATTTCAAAGACTAGATGTGAGTCTACACTGAGGATGCCATCATAGAAGGTGGCGCCAGGTGGACTCGGAGCTAACTTTGGCCGCCCAATGAAAATGCAGGATGCGTGGGTTCTTCAGCCAATCAAATGTCGACTTTCAAGGACGATTCAGCCACATTTCTTAACCACCTCTATTCTGAAACTTCCTCTCCACAAACGAAACACAAACATACCCTCATTAGTACACCCCTCTGGGTGAAGATGCCATGGCGCTCAGAAACGGTAGGATGTATACACTACTCACAACAATAAAATAGTCGGGCTTTACTTTCATAACGTAACATCTCGATTATATTCGTTTTCGAGACACGCACATCAGATATGCTTGTCAAAATGCTTCACTCACTTGTACCAAGAAATTAGAATGTTCACCTGACGAGATCTTTGAAGGTGACTCAGATCTTCACGCAGAAAGGAATCATATCGATATGATGTTAATGAGATTGGGTCGTGTAGATAGTTGAATGAGCGGTAGAAAGAAAATCAATATTAAGAAAAATGTTTTATCCCACAACTACGTACGTATACACAATTTACTATACCAATGAACTGACGTATGAATTTACCCACTTAATTAACGGCTCGGAGTCAATATACTGTGTCTGAGTGGGGTATTCATGTTAAACTGCGGCATGGTATTTCAGTGAGCTAGCACTATAAATCGGCATCAGTCCGGACCAGTACAAGCAGCCACTCAAACACACACACGTACATGCACGTTGCTATATACGTGCAATAATCTTGGACGCGACGTTAAACCCCATTTCACCTCACCTTCACCTCAAAACAGAACGAAGATGTAATACCCTGGATAACCGATGCTCCTGACACTGGATGGTACTTACTGCGGGAGTCTGTGGGCAGGGCTGCTGCAGCAGCGGCTAGGATGAGGACAGTGAGTGGAGAGTTCATGGTAGCCGGTCACATCCTCACGGAGTCCCCCGGCGCTTTATATAGTGCGCACCTCCCGGGATTGTGCAGGGTGGCGCGTCGATTTTATCTGACGTATTGTGAAGGTTGTAATAGCAATACGAATGTATCTTGTCATCTTCTTGTCACCTAGTTAGTGACCTGCTCGGTGATATCAGATCACACGTCACCGACTGTCATACCCATCATTCAAATGTCTTTGATCATTGTGACAAAGAGCGCCATATATTGCCACTATATTTCATGATTCTTAACAGATTTTGTTAACGTTCAAGAGACTCTCGATTTTCTTTTCTGCGCAATCTCATTATATCTAATATTTTAATGACACTGCTTTTGTAAGGCAACAGATGTTGGCTGGGAGTGATGGACAGACTGACCTATACTAGGTGTCACGTGGTTAACTCATCCAACAGAAGCAAATCACTTCCACAGGCGAGGGTTTAACGTCGCCTTAAAGATTCTCGCACTTACGTAGCGACGTGCACGCACATGTGTGAATGCTTTGCTGCTTCTACCAGTCCGAGCTATAGTCGGTTTTGTTGTACCAGCTCACCGAGATACCACGGATACCAGACACAGTAGTCTGACTACGAGCGGACCAGATGCTCGTTCCACAAAGCGATCTTAGCACTGCGACTGTCGTAAGTCAGAGTTAAGTTATGGGAGTAACGATCGTCTTAGCAGTAAGCTCGCTTTCGTGAACGGGACCCAGTTCTTGTTTTGTCTGATGGATTTCCAAGAATTTGCCATACCTAATTTTGAGCTTTTGAACTATTAGACTGTGACAGAGTTAGAAACTATCGCCGGAGTCTCGTCATCTTACAGACTTGTGATTCATTCCATTCAAGAATTGACCATGTATTGAGTTTACTTTGCCCAACCAACCACAAGGGCGGATCCAGCATTTTTGAAAGCATGGGAGGGGTCCAAAATATCATCATCCCCTCTGTTAATTTTGTACTGCATACAACATACTGCATTTTGTAATCAAAGGTGTGCGTGCGAGTGCGAGTGTGAGTGTGTGTGTGCGTGTGTGCGTGCGAGCGCGTGTGTGTATGAGTGACGCGACTCCCTTCATGATGATTGAAGTAAGCGCTGAAGTGAGCTGAAATATTGCGTAAGACAGTATACACTCAGTCGTTACTCTATCCAAAGTCTTCAATCAAGAACGCAACATTTGTTGTTTGTTTTACACTTTATTTCCTGCTGTTAATGGTGTAGCATTGAGCATTGAATGTACTGGTGGTGGAACGCAACAACCAACACATAATGGTGGACGATTATAGTGTTCCAAGTAAAATATAACAACAACAAATACACTAGAGATTCTATGGGTTATTGCATAGATATCCTCAGTACTTAAAATGCTCTGTCACTGTTTGTGATAAAGGAAGACGGCAACGAGATATAGCTAACAATGTATATGTGTTAATACCTTTCTAGTGATGCGTATACTAGTTGTTGCAGATTTCGGGTAGCACTAGCAGAATCCCAGATGTTATAATCAATAAAGGACTCGGGGGAAGTAGTGGCGTAGCAAGAAAACGTACAACTTCCCGAGGCAAGAGAGTTAACTGACTATAAAAGTCCAGTGTCCACTGGTCTTTTAAAGTCAGTTAACTCTCTTGCCTCAGGAAGATGGGAAACGTACAACTATATGGATAACAACTTCCGGTTTATTGCATATGGCGACGTTTCGATGGAGATTCTTACGTTATCAAGCTGGAGTGACTACAACCAAGTGATGAGAGGTATATATGCATGATGTGATGCTTTGTCTATGCATAGTCTCATCAAAATGGCGTCACGAACTAGACACCCGGTTCGTAAACAACATGGATTTCATCGTGCAGATTTGCAAAGCATGTGTACCGCCAACTGCTTTGACAGATAGTTTGCAAATCTGCTTATGTTTTTAATCAAGGTGCTCAAGTGATCTGATGCACTTCGCGGGATAAGACCCCTTTTATTACAATATAGATCTTGATGTCTATCAGATCGTCTTGACTGGGCGACGCCCTTTTTTGAAGCAAATACAAGTGATATGAGAGGTGGAATCTGATTAGTCAATAGGTGGGACATAGAAGGGACATAACTCGTAATAGCCACTGGTGGCAATACGATCGAGCATGGAAATTCCAGCGTAGTTCGGCAAGGGTGGGAATTGGACTTTTATAGTTAGTTAACGCCCTTGCCTCGGAAAGGTGCGGTCGCTATATGCAATAAACCAGAAGTTGTTATCCATACAGTTGTACGTTTTCTCACCAACGGCTAGAATGCCAATCAAACAGTTAAACAGTTGTGGTGTAGCTTCAGTGAATGGTAGGAGAACAGGTACCCAACAACGTCCATTCTAGCACAGCAGAGATGCTACAACAAGTTCTAATATTCTTCCTCTCCCTCTCCTTCCTCAACTTCTACCGAATCTACCCCAACCTCCTCGTAGTCTTTCTCCAGGGCTGCCAAGTCCTCACGGGCCTCGGAGAACTCTCCCTCCTCCATACCCTCACCCACGTACCAGTGGACGAAGGCACGCTTGGCGTACATCAGATCAAACTTGTGGTCAAGACGAGCCCAGGCCTCGGCGATAGCTGTGGTGTTGCTCAACATACAGACGGCTCTCTGGACCTTGGCCAGGTCACCCCCTGGGACAGCTGTTGGTGGTTGGTAGTTGATGCCGACCTTGAAACCAGTGGGACACCAGTCGACGAACTGGATGGACCTCTTGGTCTTGATGGTGGCGATGGCAGCGTTGACGTCCTTTGGGACGACATCACCGCGGAAGAGCATGCAGCATGCCATGTATTTCCCGTGACGGGGGTCGCATTTGACCATCTGGTTCGCAGGTTCAAAACAGGAATTGGTTATCTCAGCTACAGAGAGCTGTTCATGATAAGCCTTTTCAGCTGATACGACCGGTGCGTATGTTACCAGGGGGAAGTGGATGCGAGGGTAAGGAACAAGATTGGTCTGAAATTCTGTCAGATCCACGTTCAAGGCGCCATCAAACCTGAGGGATGCTGTTATGGAACTTACGACTTGGCCGATAAGACGGTTGAGGTTTGTGTACGTTGGACGCTCAATGTCCAGATTCCGTCTGCAGATGTCGTAGATGGCCTCATTGTCGACCATGAAGGCGCAGTCGGAGTGTTCCAGGGTGGTGTGGGTAGTCAAGATGGCGTTGTAGGGCTCCACGACGGCGGTAGACACCTGAGGGGCGGGGTAGATCGAAAACTCAAGCTTGGATTTCTTGCCGTAGTCGACGCTGAGACGCTCCATCAACAGAGAGGTGAAGCCGGAGCCAGTGCCGCCACCGAAGCTGTGGAAGATGAGGAAGCCCTGGAGTCCAGTGCACTGGTCAGACAACTTTCGTATGCGGTCAAGGACGAGGTCGACGATTTCCTTGCCGATGGTGTAGTGGCCACGGGCGTAGTTGTTGGCGGCGTCCTCCTTGCCGGTGATCAGCTGCTCGGGGTGGAACAGCTGGCGGTAGATGCCTTGACGGATCTCATCTGAGGAGACAATCATTGGAGTTGTATTACATGTGACTTCTCATGCTCATGGTTAGCTATTGGGTCAATGAAGACATTTTCTAATAGAAAATAGACAATTCATAAGCTAAGATAATTACACCCTGTCTAAACGAGCACCCCTATAATCCGTTTCTTTTTATTGTTCATAGAGAAACCGTTGTATTATTTGTAAGCTATCACGATACATGTTCATACTTTTTTCCCAATTCCTATGGCAATCGTTGTGTAATTTGTCATATATCAAAGTAAACCCTGTCTAAGCCAAACACCTGCACAATCCGCTTGTTTTCCTTGTTCCTAGAGAAACCTTTGTATAACTATCTATCACGAAAAGTGTACCCTGTCTAAACACCTCCATAAACCTGTATCCTTAACCTAGCAATATTCCAGCTATGTGACGGCGGTCTGTAAATAATTGAGTCTGGACCAGACAATTCAGTGATTGACATCTCGAACATCGATACACGAAATTGGGACACGATGACATGCATCATCCAAGTCATCGAGTCTGAGGACCCGTTCTCGTTTGTCGCATCTTACGACAAGCATAGACGCCTCTTATGACAAACATAGGTTACCGAAGACTTATTTAAACCCGGATCTTCACGGGTCTATTGTTCTGACCATGATCCATAAGGGGTAAAGGTATAATTATTCAGTGCATTCATATTTCTATGGAATCCTAGTAGGGACATTGTTTTTGTAAGGGCGACAACGCCACAGGGTCACAGGGTTCATATAGACACAGTGAAACAACGGGACTTTGGTCTTTGCGTTTTCGTTTCGTTGCCGCTGCCTCACCTACGACTGTGGGTTCAAGGTCGACGAAGACGGCCCTGGGCACGTGTTTCCCTGCTCCAGTCTCGCTGAAGAAGGTGTTGAAGGAGTCGTCCGCACACCCGATAGCTTTGTCTGAGGGCATGATCCCATCTGGTTGAATGCCATGTTCCAGGCAGTAGAGTTCCCAGCATGCATTGCCGATCTGGACACCAGCCTGGCCCACGTGGATAGAGATACACTCGCGCTGAAATCGAGATACAATGAGTTACAACAAATTCAGTGCATTAATGAAGCGCCTGACAATCAACGCGGAAAGATGCCTGGACACAATACTAGTACCCTACTCAGTCTGAACTTGAATTTAATTCCCAGCTCCCTGTGTAAGTTCCTAGGTGGGAGAAGGTTTACCTCCTCGTCCTACCGGGTACCCATTTACTACTCGGTGAACAGCAGCATATTTCACTTGCTTAGTGAGACACCACAAGTAACACCAAGCTGGCCGAACATGGTCATCCATCCACCTACTCTCCGCGCTGACCTGACACGGTTAATTTAAAACGTCAACGTTAGCGAATAACCAGTCTCCATGGTCAGACGAAACAGATTCTATTGGGAAAATAGCGGTGAATATTATATGAATGGATCACTTAAAATCAGGGATGACACCAGGTGTTCGCGAAATGGGTAAGCATATCCTGGATCAACGAAGTGAAGCCAACAGATTTTAACGTTATGATGAAGAACATGTAGAGCAGCGTCAATTATTATAAATACTGATGACAAAAAACTGACACAAATGCCTCTAGATTTGAACAAATTATGATGTAATCAACAGGAGACACTAGCCAAAATTCATCTTACTCAGTCTGTCATTTTCACAGAAGATGAATAAAATAAGAGCCTGGTAAAACACAGAGGCCCCCAAAAGAGACCCTAATACGGAACACATGTATTGAGCCTCACTGAAACAATATATATATATAAAATGTTATTACATTTGAACAAAAACGGCTGAGTAATGGACACATATAGGTTTTTCAATATGGCTGCTGTGGCGAAATTGGGATCAGCTTGGTTGGTCCAGTTCTTCCCGTGACGATGTTGACTAGCGAAGCCGCAGTCGACCGAAAAGCAGGCCACGGCGTAAATTCGTTTGACTTTCAATCAGACGAGCCAAATGTCATCCCAAATTAATACAGTCGGTACACCTTCCGGCCAAAACTCTCAGTAATCAGCGACTGTTTAAATAGTGAAAGGTCTTGATATATTTGAATAGAAAAGTATACCACTGACACTAAAAATATACTTTAATATGTACATTGACATGAATGCAAAAACTGTTAATTAAATTATACAAATACAATGTGCCTACTAATTGGATTTTACGCCACGCGGCCTCTAAATCTGAAATATAGAATCTTGGTATAATTCTAGATAAACGCTACACAAACTGTGAGACGATGATATGATAAATTCAACTACACAAGAAATGGTCGATGCGAACCTTTTATTGATTCGTATTCATATATATCCGCACAATTGCGCTCTGACATTTCGGCAAGCCTCGCGTTCTTCCGCCTTCGTTTTCATATGAGTCATCACCGATATCAACTATGTGGAGATTTGCTTTGGCTTGTTAAAATAATGTTCCAGTTTCCCTTGATCGGCAGGTCCCTTATTTTCAAATAGATGATGTTTAAGAAATGTCAGGAAACGTTTTCATCTCAATTTCAATGATGTGAGCATCTGATACTCTTAAAAAAAGAAACGCATAGGTGATAATGATATGCATTTATGAAGGACAACAGCACATGGTAATCATAGATATAGTGCCTTTGGCACCAGGTTTATAATGGCATTGTTGGAATCATTAAAACGCAGCAATAACGAATTGCAAACCCCAAATGTAACAATTCAGAAAAGTAACACAACGTCATAAATAGTTGGGGTTCTCGGTCGCGTCAAGTGATCCGTACACTCAGGGGGGATGAGGAGCCAGCCGGGCAGTACTCCTAAGACCTTGTCCTTTGTCACTTTCCGTGTATTGTCTTCATATCTGACACACGTCCACTGTCATTACCCTGTGTCACTTATGTCATTATCTCTTACTTCTGTCATTAGTGTAGAAATATCTTACTTCTGTCATTAGTGTAGCAATATCTTACTTCTGTCATTAGTGTAGTCATATCTTACTTCTGTCATTGGTGTAGCAATATCTTACCTCTGTCGTTAGTGTAGTTATATCTTACCTCTGTCGTTAGTGTAGTTATATCTTACTTCTGTCATTAGTGTAGTTATATCTTACTTCTGTCATTAGTGTAGTTATATCTTACTTCTGTCATTAGTGTAGTTATGTCTTACCTCTGTCGTTAGTGTAGTTATATGTTACCTCTGTCATTAGAGTAGTAACATCTTACATTCTGTCATTAGTGTAGTTATATCTTACTTCTGTCATTAGAGTATTAATATATTACTTCTGTCATTAGTGTAGTTATATCTTACTTCTGTCATAAGTGTAGTAATATCTTACTTCTGTCATTTGTGTAGTAATATCTCACTTCTGTCATTAGTGCAGTTATATCTTACCTCTGTCATTAGTGTAGTTATATCTTACTTCTGTCATTAGTGTAATTATATCTGACTTCTGTCATTAGTGTAGTTTTCAGTAATATCTTACTTCTATCATTAGAGTAGTAATATTTTACTTATGTCATTAGAGTAGTAATATCTTACTTCTGTCATTAGTGTAGTTATATCTTACTTCTGTCATAAGTGTAGTAATATCTTACTTCTGTCATTTGTGTAGTAATATCTCACTTCTGTCATTAGTGCAGTTATATCTTACCTCTGTCATTAGTGTAGTTGTATCTTACCTCTGTCATTAGTGTAGTAATCTCTGACCTCCGTCATAAGTGTAGTTATATTTTACTTCTGTCTTTAGTGTAGTAATCTCTTACCTCTGTCATTAGTGTAGTTATATCTTACTTCTGTCATTAGTGTAGTAATATCTTACCTCTGTCATTAGTGTAGTTATATCTTACTTCTGTCATTAGTGTAGTTATCTCTTACCTCTGTCATTAGAGTAGTAATATCTTACTTCTGTCATTAGAGTAGTTATATCTTACTTCTGTCATTAGTGTAGTTATCTCTTACCTCTGTCATTAGAGTAGTAATATCTTACTTCTATCATTGGAGTTGTAATATCTTACTTCTGTCATTAGTGTAGTCATATCTTACTTCTGTCATTGGTGTAGTAATATCTGACTTCAGTCATTAGTGAAGTAATATCTTACCTCTGTCGTTAGTGCAGTAATATCTTACTTCTGTCATTAGAGTAGTAATATCTTACTTCTGTCATTAGAGTAGTAATATCTTACTTCTGTCATTAGTGTAGTCATATCTTACTTCTGTCATTGGTGTAGTATTATCTTACTTCAGTCATTAGTGTAGTAATATCTTACCTCTGTCGTTAGTGTAGTGATATCTTACATTCTGTCATTAGTGTAGTGATATCTTACATTCTGTCATTAGTGTAGTAACATCTTACATTCTGTCATTAGAGTAGTTATATTTTACTTCTGTCATTAGTGTAGGAATATCTTACTTCTGTCATTAGAATAGTAATATCTTACTTCTGTAATTAGAGTAGTAATATCTTATTTCTGTCATTAGTGTAGTAATATGTTACTTCTGTCATTAGTGTAGTAATATGTTACTTCTGTCATTAGTGTAGTTATATCTTACTTCTGTCATTAGTGTAGTCATATCTTACTTCTGTCATTAGTGTAGAAATAATTTACCTCTGTCATTAGTGTAGTACCATCTTACGTTCTGTCCTTAGTGTAGTTATATCTTACTTCTGTCATTAGTGTAGTTATATCTTACCTCTGTCATTAGTGTAGTAATATCTTACTTCTGTCATTAGTGTAGTTATATCTTACTTCTGTCATTAGTGTACTTATAGCTTACTTCTGTCATTAGAGTAGTAATATCTTACTTCTGTCATTAGTGTAGTTATATCTTACTTCTGTCATTAGTGTAGTTATCTCTTACCTCTGTCGTTAGTGTAGTTATATCTTACCTCTGTCATTAGTGTAGTAATCTCTGACCTCTGTCATAAGTGTAGTTATATTTTACTTCTGTCTTTAGTGTAGTAATCTCTTACCTCTGTCATTAGTGTAGTTATATCTTACTTCTGTCATTAGTGTAGTAATATCTTACCTCTGTCATTAGTGTAGTTATATCTTACTTCTGTCATTAGTGTAGTTATCTCTTACCTCTGTCATTAGAGTAGTAATATCTTACTTCTGTCATTAGAATAGTTATATCTTACTTCTGTCATTAGTGTAGTTATCTCTTACCTCTGTCATTAGAGTAGTAATATCTTACTTCTATCATTGGAGTAGTAATATCTTACTTCTGTCATTAGTGTAGTCATATCTTACTTCTGTCATTGGTGTAGTAATATCTGACTTCAGTCATTAGTGAAGTAATATCTTACCTCTGTCGTTAGTGCAGTAATATCTTACTTCTGTCATTAGAGTAGTAATATCTTACTTCTGTCATTAGAGTAGTAATATCTTACTTCTGTCATTAGTGTAGTCATATCTTACTTCTGTCATTGGTGTAGTATTATCTTACTTCAGTCATTAGTGTAGTAATATCTTACCTCTGTCGTTAGTGTAGTGATATCTTACATTCTGTCATTAGTGTAGTAATATCTTATCTCTGTCATTAGTGTAGTAACATCTTACATTCTGTCATTAGAGTAGTTATATTTTACTTCTGTCATTAGTGTAGGAATATCTTACTTCTGTCATTAGAATAGTAATATCTTACTTCTGTCATTAGAGTAGTAATATCTTATTTCTGTCATTAGTGTAGTAATATGTTACTTCTGTCATTAGTGTAGTTATATCTTACTTCTGTCATTAGTGTAGTCATATCTTACTTCTGTCATTAGTGTAGAAATAATTTACCTCTGTCATTAGTGTAGTACCATCTTACGTTCTGTCCTTAGTGTAGTTATATCTTACTTCTGTCATTAGTGTAGTTATATCTTACTTCTGTCATTAGTGTAGTTATCTCTTACCTCTGTCATTAGAGTAGTAATATCTTACTTCTGTCATTAGAATAGTTATATCTTACTTCTGTCATTAGTGTAGTTATCTCTTACCTCTGTCATTAGAGTAGTAATATCTTACTTCTATCATTGGAGTAGTAATATCTTACTTCTGTCATTAGTGTAGTCATATCTTACTTCTGTCATTGGTGTAGTAATATCTGACTTCAGTCATTAGTGAAGTAATATCTTACCTCTGTCGTTAGTGCAGTAATATCTTACTTCTGTCATTAGAGTAGTAATATCTTACTTCTGTCATTAGAGTAGTAATATCTTACTTCTGTCATTAGTGTAGTCATATCTTACTTCTGTCATTGGTGTAGTATTATCTTACTTCAGTCATTAGTGTAGTAATATCTTACCTCTGTCGTTAGTGTAGTGATATCTTACATTCTGTCATTAGTGTAGTAATATCTTATCTCTGTCATTAGTGTAGTAACATCTTACATTCTGTCATTAGAGTAGTTATATCTTACTTCTGTCATTAGTGTAGGAATATCTTACTTCTTTCATTAGAATAGTAATATCATACTTCTGTCATTAGAGTAGTAATATCTTATTTCTGTCATTAGTGTAGTAATATGTTACTTCTGTCATTAGTGTAGTTATATCTTACTTCTGTCATTAGTGTAGTCATATCTTACTTCTGTCATTAGTGTAGAAATAATTTACCTCTGTCATTAGTGTAGTACCATCTTACGTTCTGTCCTTAGTGTAGTTATATCTTACTTCTGTCATTAGTGTAGTTATATCTTACCTCTGTCATTAGTGTAGTAATATCTTACTTCTGTCATTAGTGTAGTTATATCTTACTTCTGTCATTAGTGTACTTATAGCTTACTTCTGACATTAGAGTAGTAATATCTTACTTCTGTCATTAGTGTAGTTATATCTTACTTCTGTCCTTAGTGTAGTTATATCTTACTTCTGTCATTAGTGTAGTCATCTCTTACTTCTATCATTAGTGTAATTATATCTTACTTCTGTCATTAGTGTAGTTACATCTTACCTCTGTCGTTAGTGTAGTTATATCTTACCTCTGTCATTAGTGTAGTAATATCTTACTTCTGTCATTAGAGTAGTAATATCTTACTTCTGTCATTAGAGTAGTAATATCTTACTTCTGTCATTAGTGTAGTCATATCTTACTTCTGTCATTAGTGTAGTAACATCTTACTTCTGTCATTACTATATAATGTCTGTCACTTCCGTCGTTAGTGTACGTTGTAGCTCACTTAATGACTGTATGTTATTTCTCACTTCTGTTGTTTGTGTACGTTATATAATACTTCTGTCGTCATTGTACATTATATCTTGTTTCTGTTGTTGGTCTACAACCCGTGTGACACTGAAGCCGATGAACATGACATAACACTACTGCGTACATTATGTATCACTCTATGATGTCTCTGTGACAGGTTGGTTATCCTTGATAACATGATGTTAGCAGTGTAAAGGTGACTCATATTTAATTTATGAGACATGATGATTATTGAGCATTTAATTAGACATATCGGCTCTAAGTGTTTGAAAAGGTGTAGAAGGTGTGTGTGGGGGTTGTGTGTGGGGTTGTGGGTGAGGTTAGGGGATCAACGAGTCTAGGGGGCCTGGTTAATCCGACTACACTGCTGACACAAGACAGTGGTATGACAGTCTAGACCGATGGCCTGACCAGAAGATAGATAAAGGCGGAATCTACGTCATCATGCATATATCAGTGGAAGCGAAATGGTGCCATTCAGTCATCAGATATCGCTTTATAAGCATCGGCCTTCAAATCTATCTGATAAGGCGTTAATACGGGAACACTCCCATCACCCTTTACCAAGGTGATATAAATCAACCAATTACTTTTGTCGGAGGCATCTAATGGCGGATGTATCTCTTGTTACTGGAGAGAGAGCGGCGTAACCCGTGTTATGCGTCTCGGTTCCAGCAGTCGCAGGGAACTTCCCAAAATATCCCATACATTATAAACTCGAACATAACGCAATTGAACTTACCATCGTGAAGTAACGGCAGTGCTATGTATGTGATTCCTGCTCACACAGACGGAGTCGGAGTCTGAAGTGAGAGAGTGATACCGAGGACTTGGAGTCGGTGTATTTATACCCGCTGCGGACACATGATGTGCCCTGTACGCAAGCATTGGTTGGCGCCATGGTAACCAAATCAATTCCTTTTCGTCATAATGCTGTGGAATTCCGCTATTTTGGCTGCAGTGTGGTTACAGCGTGGCAGTACATCACGTGTAGACACATGTTGACTTGTGGGTGTAGCGCTGGGTTCTTGTTCGTGCATAGCTATATAGCAAATGCGGAGTCACTTTAGGCACACTGGGAATAGGATCGTGGGGTTGCCTTGTGGTCAAAGCGCTCGCTCGCCATGCCCGGGTTCGACTCTGTCTTCTGGTATCTCACTATTTCTACAATATTTGAAAAGGTCACTCACTCACTCACTCACTCACTCACTCACCAACTCACTCACTCACTCACTCACTCACTTTGGAATATCTCCGTTTAATTCTAAAATAGATCTCTAAATCAGTCTACATGATAAACCTAACTTGCATATTTTGTTAGCATTAGAACATATATTTTTATCATTAATGCAGAAAATTAAGATTTAACCATCTAAAAAAGGAAATCAGCTTTATAAGTTTACAGACGTTATTGTTAATAAGTGTTGGTAAAATCAACACCCCAGTGTCTTCATAATTCCCTAGCATGGTGCATCATTTCCGATACAAGGTTCACTCTGATTATATGAGCCTGTGTTTGTGAGCCAGATGTTAACTCGGGTTTTTTACCAAATGATATGAGACCTACATAACTTTGTGCGTTACCACACCCTATAAATGCAAACCCAACTGACTCACGCATTCTGTGAACCTGAAAACTGACATACTCTGTTATTAGTGTAATGTTAATGAGTGATTGAGTTGGGTTTAGCACCGCTTTGAACGGTATTCTATATATCACGTCATTGGGTAATGGTACCTGCTGTAGATCTATACGACGGTGGAATATATGTTTTATATAAAACCAAAACCATTCTAAAAAGCGCAAGCAAGCTCAAACAGCATCAGGGCGAAATGTATTTTTGAGGAGAAACAGGCATTGTGTAATGAACTATTTCATTGACTATATGTTAGTCTTACGTCAAATAAGAGGATTTTGAATGACCTGAATCCAACGTGCTAGGACTGCCAGTTGGTCGGGCCAGGTCCCCCTTTAACATGTTACACAAAGCAGGAATCAATAAAGCTCACACAGAGGCTGTGGGGATGTTCCCCATCACGTCTCCAGCACGGCAGCACCATGCCACTTTGACCTTCCCCATGTGGTAAGTGTTTGTCTGGTCGATATCATGTCCAAACCGGCATGTACAGCTAGCTGCCCTTCCCAACCATGGATGCGACAAAGAGAAAGCTTGCGCCATACACCACATTTAAGATGCGTGACATGGATAATCTGCACACGTTTAGGATACATTCTTCTAAACACGTCAAGTGACTGACTTCAATACCTGTTTGTATCCTTCTTAACACGTCAAGTGACTGATATCAATACCTGTTTATATCCTTCTTAACTGTGTGTTCCCCTTCAAGTGACTGATATCAATACCAGTTTACATCCTTCTTCACTGTGTGTTCCCCTTCAAGTGACTGATATCAATACCAGTTTACATCCTTCTTCACTGTGTGTTCCCCTTCACTTGGCTGATATCAATACCAGTTTACATCCTTCTTAACTGTGATTGACATCAATACCAGTTTACATCCTTCTTAGCTGTGTGTTCCCCTTCAAGTGACTGATATCAATACCAGTTTACATCATCCTTAACTGTGATTGACATCAATACCAGTTTACATCCTTCTAAACTGTGTGTTACCCTTCAAGTGACTGATATCAATACCAGTTTATATCCTTCTTAACTGTGATTGACATCAATACCAGTTTCCGTCCTTCTTCACTGTGATTGACATCAATACCAGTTTACATCCTTCTTAACTGTGTGTTCCCCTTCAAGTGACTGATATCAATACCAGTTTACATCCTTCTTCACTGTGTGTTCCCCTTCACTTGGCTGATATCAATACCAGTTTACATCCTTCTTAACTGTGATTGACATCAATACCAGTTTACATCCTTCTTAGCTGTGTGTTCCCCTTCAAGTGACTGATATCAATACCAGTTTACATCATCCTTAACTGTGATTGACATCAATACCAGTTTACATCCTTCTAAACTGTGTGTTACCCTTCAAGTGACTGATATCAATACCAGTTTATATCCTTCTTAACTGTGATTGACATCAATACCAGTTTCCGTCCTTCTTCACTGTGATTGACATCAATACCAGTTTACATCCTTCTTCACTGTGTGTTCCCCTTCAATTGGCTGATATCAATACCAGTTTACATCCTTCTTAACCGTGTGTTCCCCTTCAATTGGCTGATATCAATACCAGTTTACATCCTTCTTAGCTGTGTGTTCCCCTTCAATTGGCTGATATCAATACCAGTTTACATCCTTCTTAACCGTGTGTTCCCCTTCAATTGGCTGATATCAATACCAGTTTACATCCTTCTTAGCTGTGTGTTCCCCTTCAATTGGCTGATATCAATACCAGTTTACATCCTTCTTAACTGTGTGTTTCCCTTCAATTGGCTGATATCAATACCAGTTTACATCCTTCTTAACTGTGTTTCCCTTCAATTGGCTGATATCAATACCAGTTTACATCCTTCTTAACTGTGTTTCCCTCCAATTGGCTAATATAAATACTAGTTTACATCCTTCTTAGCTGTGTGTTCCCCTTCAATTGGCTGATATCAATACCAGTTTACATCCTTCTTAACTGTGTGTTCCCCTTCAATTGGCTGATATCAATACCAGTTTACATCCTTCTTAACTGTGTTTCCCTTCAATTGGCTGATATCAATACCAGTTTACATCCTTCTTCACTGTGTGTTTCCCTTCAATTGGCTGATATCAATACCAGTTTACATCCTTCTTAACTGTGTTTCCCTTCAATTGGCTGATATCAATACCAGTTTACATCCTTCTTAACTGTGTTTCCCTCCAATTGGCTAATATAAATACTAGTTTACATCCTTCTTAGCTGTGTGTTCCCCTTCAATTGGCTGATATCAATACCAGTTTACATCCTTCTTAACTGTGTGTTCCCCTTCAATTGGCTGATATCAATACCAGTTTACATCCTTCTTAACTGTGATTGATATCAATACCAGTTTACATCCTTCTTAACTGTGTGTTTCCCTTCAATTGGCTGATATCAATACCAGTTTACATCCTTCTTAACTGTGTGTTCCCCTTCAATTGGCTGATATCAATACCAGTTTACATCCTTCTTAACTGTGTTTCCCTTCAATTGGCTGATATCAATACCAGTTTACATCCTTCTTAGCTGTGTGTTCCCCTTCAATTGGCTGATATCAATACCAGTTTACATCCTTCTTCACTGTGTGTTCCCCTTCAATTGGCTGATATCAATACCAGTTTACATCCTTCTTAGCTGTTCCCATTCAATTGGCTGATATCAATACCAGTTTACATCCTTCTTCACTGTGTGTTCCCCTTCAATTGGCTGATATCAATACCAGTTTACATCCTTCTTAACTGTGATTGACATCAATACCAGTTGACATCCTTCTTAGCTGTGTGTTCCCCTTCAATTGGCTGATATCAGTACCAGTTTACATCCTTCTTAACTGTGTTTCCCTTCAATTGGCTGATATAAATACTAGTTTACATCCTTCTTAGCTGTGTGTTCCCCTTCAATTGGCTGATATCAATACCAGTTTACATCCTTCTTAACTGTGTGTTCCCCTTCAATTGGCTGATATCAATACCAGTTTACATCCTTCTTAACTGTGTTTCCCTTCAATTGGCTGATATCAATACCAGTTTACATCCTTCTTCACTGTGTGTTCCCCTTCAATTGGCTGATATCAATACCAGTTTACATCCTTCTTCACTGTGTGTTCCCCTTCAATTGGCTGATATCAATACCAGTTTACATCCTTCTTCACTGTGTGTTCCCCTTCAATTGGCTGATATCAATACCAGTTTACATCCTTCTTCACTGTGTGTTCCCCTTCAATTGGCTGATATCAATACCAGTTTACATCCTTCTTCACTGTGTGTTCCCCTTCAATTGGCTGATATCAATACCAGTTTACATCCTTCTTCACTGTGTGTTCCCCTTCAATTGGCTGATATCAATACCAGTTTACATCCTTCTTCACTGTGTGTTCCCCTTCAATTGGCTGATATCAATACCAGTTTACATCCTTCTTCACTGTGTGTTCCCCTTCAATTGGCTGATATCAATACCAGTTTACATCCTTCTTCACTGTGTGTTCCCCTTCAATTGGCTGATATCAATACCAGTTTACATCCTTCTTCACTGTGTGTTCCCCTTCAATTGGCTGATATCAATACCAGTTTACATCCTTCTTCACTGTGTGTTCCCCTTCAATTGGCTGATATCAATACCAGTTTACATCCTTCTTAACTGTGATTGACATCAATACCAGTTGACATCCTTCTTAGCTGTGTGTTCCCCTTCAATTGGCTGATATCAATACCAGTTTACATCCTTCTTAGCCGTGTTCCCTGTCAATTGACTGACTTCCACCTCTCGTATTACTTGCATTTGTTTCAAACAAAATGGCTGCCCCCAGTCAAGACGATCTGATCGATAATCAAGATCAATATTCTGATAAAACGGGGCTTACATCGCCAAATGCATCAAATCACGTGAGCACCTTGATTAAAAACTTAAAAAGATTTGGAAAATATCTGTTGACAACGAGGTGGCGGTGCACATGCTGTGAAAATCCCACAATCGACCGAAATCTGCATGACACTTTACGAACCGGATTTCGATTTCGGTGCGCGATTTTGATTGGACTATGCATAGACTCATTAGTCCAGCCAAAATGTAACTCCATAATACCAGCCTAGTTCGGCAAGGGCGGAAACTGTACTTTTATAATCAGTTGCCTCGGGAAGATGGTGATTGACATGCTAGTTTCGTCATTCTTCCTGTCCGTGGTCCACATACAGAATACACAAAACAAAGTATTGTGTAAAAGCTGCCTTTAATGGTATAAACATATGTTGATATACAGTATGTAAAACAATTCAGTATTGATGCGTATATCTGCAGTTATGGACAGGCAGCACAAACCCACGACTGTAAATGCATGTAATTAATCTTCCATCCTGCTTTGGTGGCTGTAGGAAAACCATCTGGGATCGATGATCGCAAACACAAGTTTAAATTATTGTCAGTGCATCTATAGTAGATCATCAACAATATGGTTTCATCATAACTCTATATTTACTGTCACCAGACTCGTATCTTAAAATCCGCACAATCGTAACAATCTCAAGTCAATATTAAAGCTGGTTTTGAAACGGCCCAAACCAGGCAGTGCTAATATATTGTTCGAAATAACCAGGCACGATGATGAGCAACATTTATAACAACTGTTCACAACCTATGTGTTTCAACACAGACTTTGGGGGTGATAAAGGGTTCACATGAACGGAGTCTGGTCACAAATACTCGTCCTATGAAAACTATATATAAATGAAATCTAATATTTAATATATGCATAACTGGTAGGTCAACTCGGGTCTCTGGCCACATTTACTAATGTCTTTTCACGGGTGGACACTTTTCTGTTCAGGGAAACTTAAAACGATGGGGTCATATAAAGTTTAAAGTTGATACGCTGGTGAGATCAGGTATGGTCCACGAAACCATAGACGAACCCATGACAGATCGAATTGCGTCATCTTGGCTGTCCATGTTCCCTTTAATTTCAAGGCCGGTAGAAGATCATTTTGCCACATATCTATCACCAAAACAATTATTGTTGGCTGCAAAAATTAATTTCATTTCATTAAATGTCGTGAAGAAAAAGTTACCATTCCTGCCCCCACACCTCATCCCTTGTGTATCCTGCCGTGATATAGCTCCCATTGCGGCGTATAACAACACTAACACACCCACATGTAAACACTAGGACCTTTTACACAGGATATATGATATATGATATTATGCATACATTATGTGATATTATGCTTACACAAGCTCTAACCTAGCGTTGTTCCTAATTTGGATTGTGGATCTAAAAAAAGCACCATTAACTAAGGACTGGCAGGTTCCTTCTGCGGCACCATGTAGACAGTGGAATCCGGCAGTGTAGAGCAGCTTCAAGTAATATCATTAAAATCAGATCTAGTTCTTGCTTCCGGCAAACAGAGAGCTGATGACGCCCAATTATTGGTCACTTCAGTACGACCAAGCGCGAACTTTGACAGACTAATGAAATGACTGACAAGAAGTCCACATTAGCGAATCAGAAAGCTGCTTCTCGAGCCATACTAGACTATGGCGACTCCATTTCAGACTACGCTTGAAAACTATTTTGACACTATTCAAAATCTGAAAACTGAACTAAAGAACTTTCTCTAATGTTTATTATATCGTCAAGATTGCGTGGCAGTACTTCGCACGGGACGTTCAAATGCTTATCCAATTGGAGCGAGAGAAAGACGATGATTTTGGCGGAATAAGCCGTACAGGCCGTGATTGTCGTTCGGAATACCCAGTGGTAACCTTTTTGAGGTTGCATGATAAGAAAACACATTCCGACTGTCACTTTCCTGATCTGGTAGGCGACGATCCGATTGGTCGGATGACACGTAATTGAATGTTGAATCTTTGTTAAGCGGTAGCGAGAACCACGGACCAATGTCACCGGGTGCACAGGTCCGTACGAGAACTAAGATCTGATTTTTATGGGATTTAGCTTCATGTGAAATATGCAGTCATATCCTGCTGGACAATACTGACTTGGTTTAAATATATATTCAGATATACGGTTGTTGTATTGATGGAATTATATATTCTTTTCTGCGATATTTAAATTTTCTGAACCGAACAGACATGCGTTGTGGTAATACCTTAAAGTTGTGACGTCACTACATGGCGAACTGACAAGAAGGATATGATGATATTTGGTACTGTAACTGGCACAAGATGATCGCGTGACGAGTACAGTAAGTGCCACAAGGTGACCACGTGACAAGTACAGTAAATTGCGCATGGTGACAAGTGCAGTACGTGACGAGTACATTAAGTATCACAAGACTGTCATTATGTGTTCTTACTGGCACACATGGCCCTGTGTCTACCACAGAGGTCCAACTTACAGACATGGCCCTGTGTCTACCACAGAGGCCCGACTTACAGATATGGCCCTGTGTCTACAACAGAGACCCCACTTACAGACATGGCCCCGTGTCTACCACAGAGGCCCAACTTACAGACATGGCCCTGTGTCTACCACAGAGGCCCAACTTACAGACATGGCCCTATGTCTACCACAGAGGCCCAACTTACAGACATGACCCTGTGTCTACAACAGAGGCCCAACTTACAGACATGACCCTGTGTCTACCACAGAGGCCCACTTACAGACATGGCCCGGTGTCTACCACAGAGACCCTCTTACACACATGATCCTGTGTCTACCACAGAGGCCCAACTTACAGACATGACCCTGTGTCTACCAGAAAGGCCCAACTTACACACATGGCCCTGTGTCTACCACAGAGTCCCACTTACGCACATGGCCCTGTGTCTACCACAGAGGCCCAACTTACAGACATGGCCCTATGTCTTACACACATGATCCTGTGTCTACCACAGAGGCCCAACTTACAGACATGGCCCTGTGTCTACCACAGAGGCCCAACTTACACACATGGCCCCGTGTCTACCACAGAGGCCCACTTACAGACATGGCCCCGTGTCTACCACAGAGGCCCAACTTACAGACATGACCCTGTGTCTACCACAGAGGCCCACTTACAGACATGGCCCTGTGTCTACCACAGAGGCCCAACTTACAGACATGACCCTGTGTCTACCACAGAGGCCCACTTACACACACGTCCCTGTGTCTACCACAGAGGCCCACTTACAGACATGGCCCTATGTCTACCACAGAGTCCCACTTACACACATGGCCCTGTGTCTACCACAGAGGCCCAACTTACAGACATGACCCTGTGTCTACCACAGAGGCCCACTTACAGACATGGGCGCACACACTATGACGAACAAAGGGTGAATCTGAACAGACAAATAAACATTGGTGTGAATGTCACATGCGGTGAAAGAGCTACTTTGGCAAAGTGTCAGTACAACGTAATGTCCTACACTATCTGCACGCTCCCGAGTGTGGAGCATGTATCACAGACAATACAGGATCGTTACACGGACAGACTCAAACACATGCAAGTATATGCACATCTTGATCCTTAGTCATTCAACATGCAGACTATGGTTACTAGGTTACATTATAACAAATCAGAGGGGAATGTTTTGAATTCAGGATTTGGGGTACATTTGGAATATGGTGTCAGTATGTGAGTGTCAACTGTGTGGGTTGATATGGGTTTTGTTGTGTTGTGTTGTGAGAGTTTGTTGTGTGGTTTGGTTGAGGTTAAGTTGTATTGTGAAATTATGTGTTGTGTTGATCGGTAGTTGAGGGGCGCTAGATCGATTCGGGGTCCCTAATACATCAAGCTTGTCACAAGAGCCAACATAAATAAGGAATGGGTGGTAAAGCTTGGTGACTTGGCTGATTGATTGCTTGTCATTGTACTCCGACCACGCTCTCACCAAATGGTGGGTCTGGTAGTGACTCGATTACATTCTGACCACCTTGATATAGCTAAAATATTGCTGTCTGTGGCGTTGAAAAACATTCACCCACTAACGTGTGCTGTGTTGTATGTGAGGAGTTGTATTGTGTGTTATGTGAGGTTATGTTATGTGGCATATAAGGGGCTTTCTTGTGAAGTATGTAAGGGACTCTGTTGTCTGGCATGAAAGGGGCTTTGTGTGTAGTATGTAAGGGGCTCTATAGTGCGGCATGTAAGGGGCTTTGTTTTTGTAGTATGTAATGGGATATATTATCTGGCATGTAAGGGGCTTTGTGTGTAGTATGTAAGGGGCTCTATAGTGCGGCATGTAAGGGGCTTTGTTTTTGTAGTATGTAATGGGATATATTATCTGGCATGTAAGGGGCTTTGTGTGTAGTATGTAAGGGGCTCTATAGTGCGGCATGTAAGGGGCTTTGTTTTTGTAGTATGTAATGGGATATATTATCTGGCATGTAAGGGGCTTTGTGTGTAGTATGTAAGGGGCTCGATTGCATGGCATGTAAGGGGCTCTATTGTGTGGCATGTAAGGGGCTCGATTGCATGGCATGTAAGGGGCTCTATTGTGTGGCATGTAAGGGGCTCCATTTTGTGGCATGTAATGGGCTTTCGTGTGTAGAATGTAAGGGGCCCTACTGTGTGGCTAGTAAGGGGCTCTATTGTGTGGCATATAAGGGGCTCTATTTTGTGGCATGTAATGGGCTTTCTTGTGTAGAATATAAGGGGCCCTATTGTGTGGTATGTAAGGGGTTTTATTGTGTAGTATGTAAGAGGCCCTATTGTGTGGTTTGTGTGATCATATTTTGGAATATTTCAAGGGTTGTATTACGTGGTGCGTTAGAGTTTGTGCGTGTAATGAAGACGGGCTTGTAACGTTTTAGTGAAATAATGTCTTCAAAGAAGGTGCCCGAGACAAAGTCGAGTGTGGTGATACATCGGGGGTAGTTGCGGGGGCATAGAGTCCATTTGTTGACCGCTCATCTCGGACTTCTGAATTATGTGAAATAACTTTCGGGAGAAAACAACTGGTCCCTCTAGATTGTCACTCTTCTCGGACTAATGGCCATGTTTGTCCCTCCACATGAAGGACGTGATTGCCATTGCCCCCCGTTTCGTACATTCTTCCCCAGGATGTGTAGCACCTTCCCCTCAACACCAACAACTACTTCGCTGCTGACGGCACAACATTGCCAAGGCGTGTTTGTTCTGAGCTGTTAACATATTGTTTTCTCGGCTCCAATGGTCCTTTAATTTTGTTCAAGGAGCGTTTCCTTTTCTTTGAGTGCTTTGTATGTGGGGTTCTGGTACGTTGACTTAGGGTCCCGGTAAATAGGATTACTCTCCTGGAAAGACAAATCAGAAATACAATATTAAACCATGACAGAACAGAAACATATCCTCTATTATCAACTTATTATGAGACTATTCGTGTCATAAATGCAGCGTAACCATTCAGTTGCAGCGTGTGTGGGTGGGGTAGGGTAGGGTGGGGTAGGGTGGGGTAGGGTTGAGAGGGAGGAGTAGGGTAGTGTGGGGGTAGTGGATGTCCTTATATCTTGGGATGCTAACCGATTATTTCACATTATTCACAACACTTACAGATTCCCATTTAGCTTTCTTTGACACTTTGAGGAACTCGGCGTATTCCTTGGCTTCTCTCCTCCTTTTGATGAAGAGGATGAGGAGGATGATAAGGATGCCTATGAAGAGGATGGCGAAAGGGATGCCCAGGGCGATGGCCATGACCGGTACCTCCTCGGGACACTCTGGAGGATCAAAGACAAGTTTTACAGCACAACACGGCAGACAGAGCAAACGACAGCCTACAAGTCATTCCGGGACAAGGTTACGGAATTAGACGAGTTGTGACAAATGCATACGACTTTAGCTTACTATCAAACAAAACGATAACCATGAAAGAACTGTTGGGCGGTGGTGATAAGAAGAAAGATGGTTGTATTTCATCATTTTAAACACAATCGATGACCTACAAATCGAGTATTGTACATAATGTAAACAATGAAGGAGAGTGTGTTTATTGTTACTTATTGTCTTTATCGTTACTGGTAGTCAGAACCGGTAACTTCAAAAAGTGTATAGAAAATAACATACGAAACCGGAACAAATTTAACATGCAAAGAAATACGCATATTTATTTTAGGGCTTACTAGAAACAATATTTTTTTATGAGCTACCGTACGTTGGGGAAGCATATACATAAAAAGAAATGTACCAATGATTAATTATTCGTCACAACTCGACCCTTTCCGTAACCTGAATTCAACCTCTCCCGTTATTGGCATGAATGGCAGAACAAGTACCTTTCTTCTCTTGAATCTTGAGTACAATGTCGTTCTGTTCATTATATTCATAGCTGTAGAGTATGAGACACCCATCTTCTAGGTTAGAACGACACATCTTGATGCCATCCTGCGGGCGATCTGAAAGAGCATACGTTGAATATTCATTTCTTATATTTTGTAAAGTTGATTTGACCAAAAACTTACAATCAATACTAGTCTGAAAACAGTCGTCGAAACACTGTAGACTTTAAGTCCCAAACACGAGGTATGTCAATTCTAGGTGCAGTAAATTGTGTACGTACATGTAGTTGTGGGCTAAAAACGACGTTCAGTGTTCAGCACAGAACAATTTTCTCAATTTTATGTTTCTTTCTTGCGCTCATCCAACTATCAGCATTACCCAATATCTAAGTCAAGCTTAGAACCTTTTGATCAGGCCTCGTATGGTACCCTTATCAAATATATCACCTTTTTTATTTGTTTCATATTTAGCCACCATCAAACATGGATGTTCATTTGGCAACGGCAATAAATAAAACTTTCAGGTATGAGAAAGAAAAAAAAGGATAGATATATCAACCATTTGAACTGATATGTTTCGTACCGATACTTCAATGATTACCGTAAACTTAAAATTTCCAGTGAGGCAAAAAGGCCCTGACACTAACTCATAATTTGTATTTTCTCACACGTCGGGGTAATCAATAAGATTTATAAGTTGAAAATAATCAAGTCTTTCAAGATATGTAGTTTGGTTCACGAGTGCTGATTAGGCATGTGCTATTCAAGCATTTAGGAGGGTCTGCGAAAATGGACAGGTGTTTAGATTATTCATCCAACCACCTCACCTTCAACTGTACTCTGCTTCTCCCATTTCATCGTACACTCTCGCGTACAGCTGACGGAGTCATATTCCCCTGTGCCGAACCCCAAACACTGTGCACACGACTTGTATTGACTGCATTTCGAGGGACAAGTCTGTAAAAACAGTAAATGTGAAATGTTGTGAATGACTGGCAAAGTAATCTCCCTTTTGTTCGAGAATGCAACAACTAATTTTTTATTATCATATCTAGAAACTACAAATTAATTATATATTACTTTTCTTAATATAAACAATGTTTTTATGGCACTACGTATTTGCGAACTTTGGGACAAAGGCAGTAACACCTATAATACTTCAATGTAAATAAATTTACAATACTATAAAGTAAATGTATGAACATGATCACAACAATGTAAATGTTTGTAAAACACTACAATGTAAATGTATGTAAAACACTACAATGTAAATGTTTGTAAAACACTACAATGTAAATGTTTGTAAAACACTACAATGTAAATGTTTGTAAAACACTACAATGTAAATGTATGTAAAACACTACAATGTAAATGTATGTAAAACACTACAATGTAAATGTTTGTAAAACACTACAATGTAAATGTATGTAAAACACTACAATGTAAATGTATGTAAAACACTACAATGTAAATGTTACCGGGCAGTCGGAGCATGTCGGCCCGATGTAGTTGGTCCCCTGTTGACACTCACACTTGCCGCACACACACTCGCCTTCCCCGTTACAGATCACCTGAAACCAGACGAGTGACGATGGATACACGCATTGGAACCGTGCAAATATATGGCTAAAACATTAGCTGTAAGCGTTTAAGTTCAAATTGCGGTTCGTATCACAATATTTGTTTAAAACGTGTCTGACACGAGTCGTAAATATTGTTAATAAAACCAGATCTCTATAGCACTGTAGCTCACCTAAGTGTTTCTGGAATATTTCAACACTGGATCATAATGGTACCAGGATATCAAAGAAGGTGCATAATTTGGAAATTTGGTGCCAATTGAGTAAAAAATACTATTGGCAATAACGCTGCTGTGGTGGCCATGTTATAAATCAAATCAGAATTCTCCGAACACATGTTAAAGCCGCAGTTGCTAAGATCACCATGTACAGAAAAAGGTTTCAGGGATGTCGAAAATGCAGAAGGTCATGATAAACTGTACAATACGAAGGCCAACGACCACAGTAAGGGAAACATACAGGCGCACGCCTCTGATGCTCTGTTGACGAGCTGTCTAGTGACGTCGCGAAAGTAATGACGTTACAACCTTCCATTGCTGACGTCATATCGACATGTTTCTTTTAAAAATAACAACAATATATTCCTCACATTATGTCATCAATAAATCACACAGATTTATAGTCTTCAAAACCTGTCTCAATATTGATGTATGTCCTTCCATCGTGGAACATATATACCTATTCTTAAGTCTCTCCTGTACATATGAGTGTACATGTTAGCTGTACTATATTTAAAATCTTCAAACTAGCAGTGTTATGACTATAGGATTGAACGTAAAATCCTTCAGTAGAAAATCACCTACCCCATTCTCAGCCTCGCATGTGTCGTTCCTCGTTGAGCAACCACAGTTGTCCCCCTTGAATCCTGGCAAACACTGACAGTTACCGCACTTGCACACACCGCGAGTTGGACCTAGACATCGATGGATGGTCATGATTACTTACATTTTAGCCAAATGTGTTTATAAGGATAATGGACTATTCCCGTGACGATGTTTTTATTTATCATAAAGTATGTTTAGAAGCACATGTTAAGTTAGTCTAACATTCAGCTGCCGAACTGAAAATATTTTAACGTTTTCTTTTTGAATTTGTCTTGTAATACACGTAAAATAGAAAGGACGCTGGAGAGGCATCATCCTGGGACTGAAGAAATTTAAACATGCTTGGATATTTTGTTTCAGGCCTTAATGAGAGATAAATTTACGGTATTCATACTTGGTTGGGGACATCTAAAGATTTCAATTTTTTAAAACAAATATAAGAAAACCCATAAATTCTGCATTGAACGTTGACTTAACACAAGTCATTCTGAAATGTATGATTTATTCATTAGAAGGTGAACACATTGAATATAAAACGTTCACAGGCTACCCTGGTTCGTCTTGATAGTGTTCTGGCGTGTACAACTTGCAACACGATATATCTAATAGGCCATATTATCATCAGTTTCATTATTCTCACTCATTAATGAATAACAGGATCAAAGTTATTGTTGCCTTGGAGTATACGTACGCATGCACACGTGCATATCGGGTTGAACGTGGTCTTAATTTAGCTGTACTTGACGTACAAGTGGTCAGGGTCGGTTACCTGGTTGATTGCGTGTCATCGTACCCCAACAAGCGTGGATCGTTGCTTATGATATTAATCACTGGATTGTCTGGTCCAGAGACGATGATTTACATGCTGTCGTCACATAGCTGGAATATTGCTGAGTGCGGCGTTAAACAACAGACAAACAAAACTTCCCACCCACCTCCAAAAACAAACAAACAAAAACTACAGGTGGTGACTATGTTACAAGATGGAGACTTGCCTCCACACAGCTGAAGGTCGTAATAATCACAGGCGTAGTCGTTGCACTCGCAGAATGCGCGGCTGTAGCGCCGGGCGGTGTTGATCCCGATGGTGTAGCACTCGCACACTCCACACACACAGTCGCCATGGCCGGAACACACCACGGTGCTGTTGGGGCTGAACAGAGGGGGTTGAAATCAGATGACAGCTCAAATCAGAGGACGTGCACGCAAAAAAGAAACTATATGTGAGGACATGGGCTCTCACTTGTATGTAATAAGGACTGGGGTATCTCACTGGTATGTGATAAGGACTGACGTCTCTCACTTGCATAACATAAGGAATGTCGTCTCTCGTTGGTACGTAATAAGGACTGGCGTCTCTAGTTGGTACGTAATAAGGAATGTCGTCTCTGGTTGGTACGTAATAAGGAATGTCGTCTCTGGTTGGTACGTAATAAGGAATGTCGTCTCTCGTTGGTACGTAATAAGGAATGTCGTCTCTCGTTGGTACGTAATAAGGGATGTCGTCTCTCGTTGGTACGTAATAAGGAATGGCGTTTCTCGTTGGTACGTAATAAGGAATGTCGTCTCTCGTTGGTACGTAATAAGGAATGTCGTCTCTCGTTGGTACGTAAATAAGGAATGTCGTCTCTCGTTGGTACGTAATAAGGAATGTCGTCTCGTTGGTACGTAATAAGGAATGTCGTCTCTCGTTGGTACGTAATAAGGAATGCCGTCTCTCGTTGGTACGCAATAAGGACTGACGTCTCTCGTTGGTACGTAATAAGGACTGGCGTATCTCATTGGTATGTAATAAGGACTGACGTCTCTCATTGGTATGTAATAAGGACTGACGTCTCTCATTGGTACGTAATAAGGAATGACGTATCAGATTGGTATGTAATAAGGACTGACGTCTCTTATTGGTATGTAATAAGGACCGACGTCTCTCGCTAGTATGTACTAAAGTCCTGACTTCTCACTGGTATGCATTAGGTTAACTCCTTAAGGGTATCGCAGTTTTACGTCCAGGACATGAATCAGCGACACCAGATGTTGGACTCAAGGGTCAGTCTGTACTTACTCTTTCTGACACTTGGCGATGGACTCCTGACTGGACAGCTCGCCCTCGTCACACTCGCAAACTCGCCCGTACCGGTTTGGGTTGCACGTGCACTGACCACACTCAAATGTTCCATTACCACCGCTACACAAGTCGCTGGCCGGTTGCTGGGGAAGGAACGGAATGATTCAATGAACGAGGTAATTTGAAAGCCGCTTTGACTAGATCTAAAATGTATGATTATATTGCCAAGCTAAGATGTATGATCAGGAATAATCCGCGGGTAAGGGACGCAACTCTGCACAGCGAATTGCGGCGGCTGAGACCGCTGTGCCTCACATCTTCGGAGGTGTACAGAGACGGCACTGTATACTGTAACTTCTTCAACACCGTTTGCCTAAGTATCAACACTTAGAGTTATGATAAAGGATTTTTTATGTACAACATCCCACTGCGGCATACAACAGTGATATCCACCTATACAGTATGGTTAAGATTTATGGATGACAAGTATATGTACAGGTAGGAGGCAGTGTTTATACAGTGAAGTAGATATCAGGTGTGGTTACACTGGAGTGGAGAAGCCTGTTATGTCCACAAAAAGGGTAGTGAACATTTTGACCGGAGAATATTCGGTGTAAGAAACTACACCGAAACGTCGCTTCTAATCGTTATAAAGAAGTTGTTCACCCATAAATCTTATCCTTACTTAGTACTACAATGTCTAAATGTCTCTCTGGGGCGGTCTGGTAGCCTAGTGGTGAAAGTGTTCGTTCGTCACGCCGAAGATCCAGGTTCGATTCCTGACATGGGTACAATGTGTGAAGCCCATTTTTGGTGTCCCCCACCGTGATTTTGCTGGAATATTGCTAAAAACGGCGTACAACCATACTCACTATAAATGTCTCAGAGTAGTTACACGTATACTGTACTTCCGCCTTTTAGCCTAAAAGGGCAACGATGTATATACTTCAACCTCACAATGCTGCATTGCCGTAACGGAAAAAAACATCTGCGCCGCATTAGCGCACCGCCAAATACAATGTCTCTGTTATAAAAAAACAAACTATTTGCTGCGTATGTGTCCTCCACAACATCATGTGCTGCGTGTCTGTACCCGCAAAGAAATAAATGTTGCGTGAGTGTACTACAAAATGCAATTTGCTGGTGTGTAGTACAGAATGCTGTATGTTGTGTGTTCTACAAAATGCGGTGTGTGTCGTACAAAATGATATATGCTGCGTGTGTAGAAACAAAATGATGTGCTGTGCAAGACTCACCTCCTGACCTGGCTTCTCGCAGTCACACTCACACACAAGGTCAAGGTTCACGGTCAGCTTCTCAGACAAACCGACGGCAGCGATGTCAAATGTATGTGTCTTCTTCTTACACAGCTCGGGTGACACATTGACCTCCACGTCGAACACCACCTGAAGGTTGCAACAGTGTGACAAGCATGCAGTACGAATCAAATCAAATCCGAAATTAGACTCCCGTTATTCTTCAGCTGGTCATCTGGTCAAGCCGCCATGTTGCTTTTGGAGCACAGTTGGAGAGATGGCTCCTTGTTCACATAGTGGGGCAACCGGTTTGGTACAGTTGTTCTCTGTTTGTTATTTAACGCCGCACCCAGCAATATTCCAGCTATGAGGGTGGTCTGTAAATAAACGAGTCTGGGCCAGACAGTCCAGTGATTGATATACAATGAGCATCGATTCACGCATTTTGGATATGATGACATGCATCAACCAAGTCAGCGAGCCTGACCCCCCGACCCCCCTTAGTCGCCTCTTACGGCAAGCATGGGTTGCCGAAGACCTATTCTATCCCGGATCTTCACGGATGCTTGGTACAGTGAACTGCTGATATGATGCGAGTTGTTCTCCCGTAAACAAGCCACCAACTGACTCAAAAGATTCGTTCTAAACTGACTCGTACACATGCTGAAAGATTTCTCACTTTTGTTTGTTTGTTGTTTAACGCCGCATACAGCAATATTCCAGCTATGACGACGATCTGCAATTAATCGAGTCTGGACTAGACAATCCAGTGATTAACACCATGAGCATCTGTCGAGCTATGGTGGTCAGTGTGTCGGGGATATTTATCATATTAAACTGAAGATAAATCGAGGATAATGTTGGAGGTGGGTACGTGTATGAACACAGACGAATACTTACGGATTCCCCCAGTTCTAACCCCGTGCACTCGTTCGTTATTCTTGTTTTTGTCCTGGAAGTGTAATATGTTCAAACAGTATTAACTCAAGGATTCGCGAGGTCAAGAAAAAATCGTGCAAAACAATTAGAATGGCTTTGTCTTGGATGTTACTTACCCATTACATTTGGATGTTACTTATCCATTACATTTGGATGTTACTTGCCCATTACATTTGGATGTTACTTGCCCATTACATTTCGATGTTACTTGTCCATTTTGATGTTACTTGTCCATTACATTTGGATGTTACTTGTCCATTTGGATGTTACTTTTCCATTACATTTGGATGTTACTTACCCATTACATTTGGATGTTACTTGCCCATTACATTTGGATGTTACTTGCCCATTACATTTGGATGTTACTTGCCCATTACATTTGGATGTTACTTGTCCATTTGGATGTTACTTGTCCATTACATTTGGATGTTACTTGTCCATTACATTTGGATGTTACTTGCCCATTACATTTGGATGTTACTTGCCCATTACATTTGGATGTTACTTGCCCATTACATTTGGATGTTACTTGCCCATAACATTTGGATGTTACTTGCCCATTACATTTGGATGTTACTTGCCCATTACATTTGGATGTTACTTGCCCATTACATTTGGATGTTACTTGCCCATTACATTTGGATGTAACTTACCCATTACATTTGGATGTTACTTACCCGTTGCATTTGGACTTGAATGTAACTTGGATATTTTCTGCATTTACTGGCTTAAACTCAATTTTGGACCTAAGTTTCTGAAAGAAACAAAAGACTATGTGCACCAATCAGTTATTTTCGATTAACTGAATTCATGAGTTACAAATTATTCAGTCACTTTTTACAGAAAACAAATATCAAAATCCTAAGAAAGTGATTTAATTGAAAAGAAAACCTCAATATCGTAAGAGAGGTACAAAAGAGACCACAGCACAAACGTTTTCGTCAATGGAATCGAAAAACATACGTCGTAATTGTTTCTGACAAGTTCAATGATGTTTTCAGAGGCTTCTGCTAGTTTGTCGATGGCTGAGCCCTCCAGAAAACCACTGAGTTTCTGGTGAACGTTGTAGACGTTGTTCATGACGGCAAACACCACGTTGGTTCTCGTGTCCTTCACCTTCTTAGCCAGCTGACTGACGCTGGGGTAGTCCTGTGGGACATAAAAATATTACTGAGGTATTGAATTTACCGTATTTCCTCTTATGAGCGTTCTGGTGCTCATTCTTTTCAGCAAATGGTGATGATAGAGACCGGACTATCATACACATTGATTAACCGGTTCCAAATGAATCTCCATGTATCACATATGGTAATCAATAACACCTGCAAAAGTTCTAGGTTCTTATTAAAGACGTCGCTTGTATAAATTGGAGTATGGAGGATACACAACCTTACTGTTGAATGTTCTGATCTTATGTATGGGAGATACGAATATGGGGCTGTCTTTCTCAGAAGTTGGAAAACTAATTTAAATGGTTTTCTTTGTTTCATGGCTTGACCTCAGCGTGTACAGGGTAGAATGGTAATTACTTACAATGACAGTGTCAAAGCCTGAGTACTCCCCATTTGTGTCCAGGTGACACTCGCCATCGTTGCTGCCCACGGCTCCACCAAGCTGCAACAAGACGTGAACAATGAGGCAGAGAAATGTCATACTCCAGGACCTGGCCATGGCTAACTTGGCACAGTACACAGCTGCATATATGACTCGGGTCCACTCCGCTTTTATATCCATACATATACCTCGGGAGAGTTTGGCTATTGCCTGAATTTATTGTTAACCGCTCACCCCGCATATAGTTCGTATGGCACGACTGCCGAGTTGTGAAGAAATTGGTGTACACTTCGACATGGAGACAAGAGCAAGCGGGAAGAATTTGAGACTGTCCCTACGTTGTGTCATTGTGTACATTTCGTAGTATCAGCATCGTAGTGAGTCGTAGGCGTTTACCACTTGAAAATATAGAGCAAGGGTATGGTGCATATAGATCAAGGATCATTATCAAGGCATACCTAAAATTCGAACCTTTGATTAGCGGATCCTGACATTGCCAACGGGTGACAATCAGAAAAGTGAGTTTCGGCGAAATAGATAATTATCACGACCATTAGACCATCTAATATCCTTACTATGGACAGACCCTAATAAAGAGGTTGAAATCCATATATTCTCTTCCTTATCACTTCTAAATGCTTCAAAATTGTTTCATATGGTGGATATTCTGACAAATAGTTCTCTAAAACAAATCGGCCCTAGAGTTGTGTAATATCCGGATATTCAGTCTATAATATGTGAAGGGAATGTAGGCAATGATATACGAGGTCTGTAATTATATACAAGCAGCTTGCTTACCTTGCCATCGCCGGCTAGATGGAACCAGGAGTTGGAACTGTACACAACCATACGCCGAGACCGCTTCCTCCATCCAATGGGGTCCTGTTGAAGACAAGCACAGATCAGGGGAGTCGGAACACGAGTGGGTGAGAGAACGGGTAGTTGGATGAGTGGTGGGTACACAAGCGAATGTGTGAGTGGGTGAGAGAAGGTGGGTGGATGAGTGGTGGGTACACGAGCGAATGTGTGAGTGGGTGAGAGAAGGTGGGTGGATGAGTGGTGGGTACACGAGCGAATGTGTGAGTGGGTGAGAGAAGGTGGGTGGATGAGTGGTGGGTACACGAGCGAATGTGTGAGTGGATGAGAGAAGGTGGGTGGATGAGTGGTGGGTACACGAGCGAATGTGTGAGTGGGTGAGAGAAGGTGGGTGGATGAGTGGTGGGTACACGAGCGAATGTGTGAGTGGATGAGAGAAGGTGGGTGGATGAGTGGTGGGTACACAAGCGAATGTGTGAGTGGGTGAGAGAAGGTGGGTGGATGAGTGGTGGGTACACGAGCGAATGTGTGAGTGGATGAGAGAAGGTGGGTGGATGAGTGGTGGGTACACGAGCGAATGTGTGAGTGGGTGAGAGAAGGTGGGTGGATGAGTGGTGGGTACACGAGCGAATGTGTGAGTGGGTGAGCTCGTGAGTGAAATTGGTTTAACGCCACTTTGAACTGTTATAACAGGACATCTCACATTAAAATAGAGGAAAACGGAATTAGTGAGTAAATAGATGTTTGAGTGAGTGAGGGAAATGGGATGGGGTAGGAAGTCTTGTGTGTTTGTTGTTTAACGCCGTACTCAGCAATATTCCAGCTATATTATATGGCGGCGGTCTGTGAATAATCGAGACCGGATAAGTGATAAATATGCGTGTGCGTGCGTGTGCGTGTGTGGTGTGTGTGTATGGGGGCTGGGTGCGTGTGTGAGTGGGCTACAGAGTCAATGAATGGGTTTAACGCCACGTTGAACAGTTATATCTCGGCATATCGGCATTACACGGTAAACAGGTAGGTGTCCAATGCCTCATACACGGCTGCACTTACATCACACGACAGCACCTGCATCATGCCATCCATCCCTCCCTCAGGGTCGTCCAGACTCTGAGACATCATGCTTAAAGCTTCCCTCATCCGATCCTGTGCACAAGGAATCAACGTGAACAAAACACAGGTCACGTAAAGTTGAAAATACATTTCTCATCATCGTATGCGTCGCTTCGTGATTTTCTCTTATCGAACGGTCGGTCTGTATTGATTGTTTTTATCTCGTTAAAATGTTGATGTTTCTTCGAAGAATTAGTTTCTTAGTGAGAAACATGATTTCATTTTCACGGTATAATTTATGTTCCAAGATTCAGGATGTTTTTCAAGGACATATGCGCAATATTACATGAAAATAATGAAAAGTATGTTACATTATGTATTGTCATGTGATAAGGGTCATATGGCCTTGAATAAAATAAGCAGCTTGAATCTTGAAACGCAGAGGCCCAAAACTGTTAATATACAAATCTGTACAATATCCGGTTATAGGAGCGCATGCACAGCGTCCTTATTGGGAAATAAATAAATGACAAGTAAATAGACATCCCCTGTCTCACCTCGAAAGTGTCCCGACTAGTATTATTAAACGAGTCTACTGATGTAGATTTAGGCGAGAGACATTTTAATTCAGAAACAAACTTCCATTTGAAACCTTTGATTTGGTCAATCAATCAGAATCAAGAATTAGACATATTCATGGTGGAAGGGTTGTTTAAAACAATATTGTCAATAAACCGACACCTGTTTACATAGTTACTCAGTGTTACATACAGTGAAACCTCGTTTGTCCGAACCCTGCCGATCAGGGGACTCTGTCTACCGATCGATTACTGTTGGTAACGTCTATATAAGGGACATCATGCTGCATTTTGAAACAGTACGGTCCGGATTAACCGAGTTTTACTGAATTTCCAAAACGATGTAAATATGATATACTGCTGCTCACTCACTATATATCACATGCGTGAGTAGCATCACTGTAAATCCCAAACATATATCATTTTTATACTTTATGTATAAGACTTAGTCTAAATGTTTTCTTCAATTATATGCTGAGGCAATGTCACTATGCGTTTGGGGAGAACCGATTCCACTTAATGTCTGAATATCCATCACAAACGCTGTCGCACTATATTAAAAAAAACCCAACTTACCGCAAATATGGTCATGTTTTTCGTCAGTGCCATTTGGTTTTGGAAGTCATGTGGCCGGCGACATTGAACTCCAGATGGACACCTGTCTTCTAACCTGTAACAAAAGGATCACACGAACACCATTAGATTGTTATTTAGTCCCAGAAATACAGTTATCTTATCTAAAAATATACACCTAAAATATATAAAAAATAAATTCCGAATGGAGAAGAGAAAAACCCTTACTTCAGCTGAGGAAATCTAGACTTACCAAACCATTCTAGACTTAAGTTGGACTCCTTTTTTATTTTTCTCTCTGGGAGACCGACCAGAACATCGTGTAAACTCTGCCGTATCACGACATTTCTCAATTAGTCTATTTCCTTTTATACGGTTAATGACAATGGTAGCAGAGGATAATGAGTGACATGGTCTTACATCTTCTTCGTCCAGGCGACATACGGCATAGCGAGCTTGTCCACAAACGTTCCAAAGCCCAGTCGAAAGTCTTTTGTGATCTTAACCATAGTATTTTCTGAAACAAACACCTTCAAATGTCAAAGAAATATATAAAGATAAACAAAGAAGATATGATCTTATAATGTCTGTAAGCAAATGGTTTTGAGCGAGTAAGTGAATGTGGTTTTGTCCCGCTGTCAGGAATATCCCAGTGGTTGATAGTATGAGCATCAATCCATGTCACGTACTGTTACGAGCCGATCATCCGTATTCCTTATGCGGGTATTAAGGCCAACGGGGGTCTTTAGGGCCTCTTCCGCCTCCGGATCCTCATTGAGATCTACTGGGTATGAGTGAGTGAGTGAGTTGGGTTTAACGCCGCTTGAAAGAGTATTTCTGTTTCATCACGACGTGTCAGGAAGTTAAAGACGGAGTTATGCTGGTCCTAGGTGGTAACAACTTAGGTGAAACCCACGTACAAGGATATGGTGAGCACTGGTTACAGGCTGTGTGTAGCGTGTTATCTCATTCTGGTTACACACTGTGTAATGCGAGTTACCACGTGCAGGTTACATACAGCGTATGTGAGTTATCACATGCAGGTTACATACAGTGTATGTGAGTTACCACATGCAGGTTACATACAGCGTATGTGAGTTATCACATGATGGTGACATACAGTGTATGTGAGTTACCACATGCAGGTTACATACAGTGTATGTGAATTATCACATGCAGGTTACATACAGTGTATGTGAGTTATCACATGATGGTGACATACAGTGTATGTGAGTTACCACATGCAGGTTACATACAGTGTATGTGAGTTACCACATGCAGGTTACATACAGCGTATGTGAGTTATCACATGATGGTGACATACAGTGTATGTGAGTTACCACATGCAGGTTACATACAGTGTATGTGAGTTACCACATGCAGGTTACATATAGTGTATGTGAGTTACCACATGCAGGTTACATACAGTGTATGCGAGTTACCACATGCAGGTTACATACAGCGTATGTGAGTTATCACATGCAGGTTACATATAGTGTATGTGAATTATCACATGCAGGTTACATATAGTGTATGTGAGTTACCACATGCAGGTTACATACAGCGTATGTGAGTTATCACATGCAGGTTACATACAGTGTATGTGAGTTATCACATGCAGGTTACATACAGTGTATGTGAGTTACCACATGCAGGTTACATACAGTGTATGTGAGTTATCACATGATGGTGACATACAGTGTATGTGAGTTACCACATGCAGGTTACATACAGTGTATGTGAATTATCACATGCAGGTTACATACAGTGTATGTGAGTTACCACATGCAGGTTACATACAGTGTATGTGAATTACCACATGCAGGTTACATACAGTGTATATGAGTTACCACATGCAGGTTACATACAGTGTATGTGAGTTACCACATGCAGGTTACATATAGTGTATGTGAGTTACCACATGCAGGTTACATACAGTGTATGTGAGTTACCACATGCAGGTTACATACAGTGTATGTGAGTTACCACATGCAGGTTACATACAGTGTATGTGAGTTATCACATGCAGGTTACATACAGTGCATGTGAGTTACCACATGCAGGTTACATACAGTGTATGTGAGTTACCACATGCAGGTTACATACAGTGTATGTGAGTTACCACATGCAGGTTACATACAGCGTATGTGAGTTATCACATGCAGGTTACATATAGTGTATGTGAATTATCACATGCAGGTTACATATAGTGTATGTGAGTTACCACATGCAGGTTACATACAGCGTATGTGAGTTATCACATGCAGGTTACATACAGTGTATGTGAGTTATCACATGCAGGTTACATACAGTGTATGTGAGTTACCACATGCAGGTTACATACAGTGTATGTGAGTTATCACATGATGGTGACATACAGTGTATGTGAGTTACCACATGCAGGTTACATACAGTGTATGTGAATTATCACATGCAGGTTACATACAGTGTATGTGAGTTACCACATGCAGGTTACATACAGTGTATGTGAATTACCACATGCAGGTTACATACAGTGTATATGAGTTACCACATGCAGGTTACATACAGCGTATGTGAGTTACCACATGCAGGTTACATACAGTGTATGAGAGTTATCACATGCAGGTTACATACAGTGTATGTGAGTTATCACATGCTGGTTACATACAGTGTATGTGAATTATCACATGCAGGTTACATACAGTGTATGTGAGTTACCACATGCAGGTTACATACAGTGTATGTGAGTTATCACATGCAGGTTACATACAGTGCATGTGAGTTACCACATGCAGGTTACATACAGTGTATGTGAGTTACCACATGCAGGTTACATACAGTGTATGTGAGTTATCACATGATGGTGACATACAGTGTATGTGAGTTATCACATGCAGGTTACATACAGTGTATGTGAGTTACCACATGATGGTGACATACAGTGTATGTGAGTTATCACATGCAGGTTACATACAGTGCATGTGAGTTACCACATGCAGGTTACATACAGTGCATGAGAGTTACCACATGCAGGTTACATACAGTGTGTGTCTGGGTACAGTGTGTGACTGGGTACAGTGTGTGTCTGGGTACAGTGTGTGTCTGGGTACAGTGTGTGTCTGGGTACAGTGTGTGTCTGGGTACAGTGTGTGTCTGGGTACAGAGTCAGTGTGCGTTTGGGTACAGTGTTCGCTGGATACATTGGTGTCTGGGTACAGTGTTCGCTGGGTACAGTGTGTGTCTTGGTACAGTGTGTCTGGGTACAGTGTGTGTCTGGGTACAGTACAGTGTGTAGCTAGGTACAGTGTGTGGCTGGGTGCAGACTCAGTGTGTAGCTAGGTACAGTGTTTTGCTGGGTACAGGCTCAGTGTGTAGCTAGGTACAGTGTGTGTCTGGGTACAGTGTGTGACTGGGTACAGTGTGTGGCTGGGTACAGTGTGTGTCTGGGTACAGTGTGTGTCTGGGTACAGTGTGTGACTGGGTACAGTGTGTGGCTGGGTGCAGTGTGTGGCTGGGTGCAGACTCAGTGTGTGTCTGGGTACACTGTGTGTCTGGGTACAGTGTGTGTCTGGGTACAGGCTTAGTGTGTGGACTCACTCATGGCGAGGCCGAGGTTGATGAGCCTGGTCTGGGCGTCCTTCTCCTTCACCATGGAGTGGGACATGTCCAGCAGGAAGTACAGGTCCACGGGGTAGTTCTCGGCCTGCCGGAACTGAACCTTGAACTTCACAGCCTCGTCTGCAATATTGACGTGTGCCCACTATAGTGCACTTCTGGTTTCATGTGATGAAATGCATTTATTTCTCAAATTACAGTAAAATAAAATGTCATAAACCAATTTCGTAATTATGTCCAAAAGTAGCATTTTGAAAGAATCGGTGATCATACTTTATTTTTTACTCATGTTTTATTAATATATTTGAGAATAGCCTATATTATTTCGTTCACAGTGCATTTATATTGGAGGTATACTCACTGGGTCTAACCCTGAGGTTGATAGCCTGGGGCTGCACTTGTACAGCTTCTTCTGTGCCGTCCCCTCCCTGGACTGGCTCGTCCTGCACACAACAACAGTACAATATAGAACACACACTGGGGACACGGCACCGACATCAATGGCATTGTCATCGACCCATCGCAACCAAGTGACAGCTTCTAGATGCACCTACAGTGACGTGGTGACAGCGTCTCATTGTGCACCTACAGTGACGTGATGACAGCGTCTCCTTGTGCACCTACAGTGACGTGATGACAGCGTCTCCTTGTGCACCTACAGTGACGTGGTGACAGCGTCTCATTGTGCACCTACAGTGACGTGATGACAGCGTCTCATTGTGCACCTACAGTGACGTGATGACAGCGTCTCATTGTGCACCTACAGTGACGTGATGACAGCGTCTCCTTGTGCACCTACAGCGACGTGATGACAGCGTCTCCTTGTGCACCTACAGTGACGTGATGACAGCGTCTCCTTGTGCACCTACAGTGACGTGATGACAGCGTCTCCTGTTGCACCTACAGTGACGTGACGACAGCGTCTCCTGATGCGCCTACAGTGACGAGGTGACAGCGTCTCCTGTTGCACCTACAGTGAGGTGGTGACAACGTCTCCTGATGCGCCTACAGTGACGAGATGACGTCTCATGTTGCGCCTACAGTGACGTGGTGACAGCGTCTCCTGATGCGCCTACAGTGACGAGGTGACGTCTCATGATGCGCCTCCAGTGACGAGGTGCCGTATCAAGCGAACTAAGGACGCAAGCTTAATGAACACTTCTCTGTTGACTGGGGTAATGATTCGCTGTTAGCAACCTTACTGTTATCTTCATCATCATCACCACTATTGTCATCATTATCATCATCATCATCATAATTGTCGTGATTATTATTATAAGTACATTATACCTTGTTGTCTCCCGTGGGAGTAGACTCACTCACCTTAGTGACATTAAGATTGGAGGCTGGGGCTTGGATGTCCTCCTTCTTGCAGGCTCCTGAAGACAGCAGGTGATCCTGTAGGTCACAGCGGGATATGGACTGGTCCAAACCCTACGATTGAAGGGTTTCAGATAAACTGGATGCGACCATTGCTTAAAATAGTCTCGTCATGTTTAGAATATTCATTAGCAAGAATGGTGTGAACAATTACATAACAGCACATGTAGTTACACGTATAATCTGTTTGAACAACATTTTCTATGCAAAAGGTACATATCAAAGTTTGGTGTAAGGAAAATAAGGACATGGACAGGGACATTTCGATAAGGCGATTATGTGCTGGTGTGATACAACGGGATATTGCACTACACAGGAAGGGTATGTAAACCGTAGCTGTAAATGGAGTTGTAAGTAAAAGTATCTGCCACATCACGCTGTTGAAGGAGAATGTCACTACTACCTATTCATTTGCGTTGACACAAATTAATTAATGATAACATTCTCTCCTTACAAGTTCATTTGCTTAAATATTCCTTCGGTACAAAAAGGTTTCTCAAATCATTAAAACATGTCCATTTCATTATTATGCGGAATTCATCCACTAACTCATTTAAATTACAATTCTGACAGATTATGTTACATTTTTCAACATTTCAACGTGAGTGAAATATCGACTTTATATTTTCAGATAAATACGGCATTGCATAATAAAAATGCACATCCGAAGTTGTTCAAATTTTGTAAAGCTTCACTTGTGATATATAATATAACTTAGTGGTAGTAAAAGTAGTTACTGTATTAAACCAATGATGTCAGGACACTGCTTCGTGTTAATTGTACTGTAGCACCCCTGGGTAAGGGGTCACATTGAAAACATCGCTACTGCAAAGTAATATATTTAAGGACAAATGGTGTATGGTAGACCAACATTTATCTTCTGAAATTATAATTATATTTTTTAAGATGTCTTCTGATAATAAGGGGGGGGGGGGGGGGGGGCACGGGTGGCCCAGTCGTCTAAGGCGCCGCGATTCGCTGTGCAGAGTTGCGTCCCTTGGGCACGCCAGAAACCTATGATTGCGGGTTCGAATCCCGGTTCGCCCCGATTATGTTTCTAGGTTTGTCAGCACCATACCCGTGCTCGTGGGTTTCACCGAAGTGGTAAACGTCTGAGACCTGCATCACTTCGGGCTTTCCTCCCACATTAAGCTGACACGCCGCGATATAACTGGAATACTGTTAAAAGCGGCGTTAAACCCAACTCACTCACTCTGATAATAAGACTAAATCTAGACTTGCCAAACTATTAGACTTGCATGGATTTCTTAAATATAATGTTTTAGGGTCTTTAGAGAGAGACCGGTGTATGGTACATGTGTCCTCATCCCCTCCCGCTCTCCTCTCACCTCCGAGGCGCACCAGGCACACACGGCCGATGTTCTGATGCACTCTCCACACGTAGCGGCATTGGTGCACGGGTTGCTCTCCAGTCGGGACGCTGCACAATCATAAGGCACATCACGTTACAACATACATTCAAACGCAAAAGGTAACTGCACTCATAACATTGTTCTTATTTTTTATATTTTATTTTTTTCAGATGATGACTCAAAATATGTTTTTTCTTAAGACACAAAGTGAACTTCTTTTATTGATCGACAATTTTTGGAGTGGTATGTAAAACATATCCGGTTTTGATATTATTGTTTATGGTATGTGGATCTTAATGGAAATAAATAAATAAGTCCGAGATGTGGTCATCTTATTAACTAAGTTTCTGATGAAGAGGATGAGGCTGCATGACAAGCGATGGTGGAAGGGACGTACCTGTTTGTGGGAACGCAGGCTGAAGTAGCTGGGCTATCAGCACCAGTACAAGACATGGCCACATCATGCAGGGAATCTAAAAAAACATAATGTCAAATGTGAATTTGCATGATCATTTGAAGCAATAGTCTAAGATCTAGTCCAGCAGTAGCAGCAGCAACAGCAGCAGTAATAGTAGTAGTAGTAGTAGTAGTAGAAACAGTAGTAGTAGTAGCAGCAGCAGCAGTAGTAGTAGTAGTAGCAGCAGTAGTAGTAGTAGTAGTAGTAGTAGTAATAGTAGTAGTTGTGATAGTAGAAGCAGCAGTAGTAGTAATAATAGTGGTAGTAGAAACAGTAGCAGTAACAGCAGCAGTAGTAGTAGTAGTAGTAGTAGTAGGAGCTGCTTGGCATTCAGGAAGTCGGTGAGTATTTCAGAAAACGTACAACTTTCTGGATAACAACTTCTGGTTTGTAACAGATGTAGATTCTTCCACCGTTATCAAGCTGACTATAGGGTTACTACAACCACGTCACGAGAGGTATATATACATGATATGATGTGATAAGCAGAAGATTAACATTCACAACAGGTAATAGATAACAAGTAGCATACATACAATTGGATGAAGCCAGATGTACAATAAGAATAACAAAAAGCACAAGGTAAAGAAGCCAGATGTACAGTAAGAATAACAAATAGCACAAGGTAAAGAAGCCAGATGTACAGGAAGAATAACAAATAGCACAAGGTAAAGAAGCCAGATGTACAGGAAGAATAACAAATAGCACAAGGTAAAGAAGCCAGGTGTACAGTAAGAATAACAAATAGTACAAGGTAAAGAAGCCAGATGTACAGTAAGAATAACAAATAGCACAAGGTAAAGAAGCCAGATGTACAGGAAGAATAACAAATAGCACAAGGTAAAGAAGCCAGATGTACAGGAAGAATAACAAATAGCACAAGGTAAAGAAGCCAGGTGTACAGTAAGAATAGCAAATAGCACAAGGTAAAGAAGCCAGGTGTACAGTAAGAATAGCAAATAGCACAAGGTAAAGAAGCCAGATGTGCAGTAAGAATAACAAATAGCACAAGGTAAAGAAGCCAGATGTACAGTAAGAATAACAAATAGCACAGGGTAAAGAAGCCAGGTGTACAGTAAGAATAACAAATAGCACAAGGTAAAGAAGCCAGATGTACCGTAAGAATAACAAATAGCACAAGGTAAAGAAGCCAGGTGTACAGTAAGAATAACAAATAGCACAAGGTAAAGAAGCCAGATGTACAGTAAGAATAACAAATAGCACAAGGTAAAGAAGCCAGGTGTACAGTAAGAATAACAAATAGCACAAGGTAAAGAAGCCAGATGTACAGTAAGGATAAGGATTAAGACATTTGCAACAAGCTTGTTTGGATACTAATTACAAATAGTACTTTGTCAACGTCACTTTTTCCACGACAGATACATCAATCTTGAACGAAACATCATATGTGTAAACTTGTAAAACACAAACTCAGACCCATCCAGCTGTACATTTACCGTTATGAAATGCCCAGATTATCATTGTTCCATTTAAATGCGCTCCGATGGCTTAATGTTATCTATTTGGAAAACGGAGCCAATATGAATGAGTGGAGTCGATGTGTGCGGATCAGAAGGCTTCAGTTTGTTACGTGGAGGTGGGGGATGCAAGGTGTCGCCAGTGTGCCATGTTGCATCATGTATAAGCGCGACAGCTTTGTTTGGTTGTAACTGAGGACGCCGAGAACGTGTGACCCACTGTTCGTCTGACTCACGTGCCTAGGAGGCGCTGTTTTATTCATTTTGCATTTCATATCAATAACTAACATTTTGATATAATGGAATCGGGATGTCTTAAAATCGAATTCGTGATATAACCCTGTGTTAAATAGTTATAGGTGTCACAAAGTTCAGTTTGTGGATATCATAAATTGAATCATAAAGATATCTTAAACTATTTTCTAGGATACGGCGGATAGAAGACACAGGGGGCCGATGTTAGGTTAGATGTGCCGTGACCTTGAGTCAAGATAACAAAAACATCGCGTGTTATTACAATAGGTTTCAGTGTGAGGAGCTATATACGGAATGTCAACATGTTGATTGATTTCAGTTTCAACACTGAAAGCTGATGGAGGGAACAACGAAGCATCAGTGTAGCCGTGAGCTTTATTGTATGGAAGCGTGTAACTGCCACATAAAAAAAATCATCCACATAGATTATATTTTCTTGTTAATATGTTGCACTAATACGCTTCCATACAATTTCCATTTGGTAGCGTTTAAACATTTCTCCAGACTATTCTCCCTGACAATGTACTGGGTGTGTACAGATGAAATGACCACCACGATCAATTATATATCAACCAAGTCACGCCAACAGCTGATAGGCTGAGCAATAATTACAAATCTTAGTGGTGTTAATTACCAAATTATATTCTTTAAAAGGTATCCACTCTATTTGGAAGCGTTGAAACATTTCTCCCGGCTATTCCCGTCTCCTCCCCTGACAATGTACTTGCTGTGTACATGTGTAGTTGCTATCGAGATAAATATCTGCGGGCTATTCCAGTCTCCTCCCCAGACACAACGCCATGTGTCGCCTTGCCGTGACGTGTGGCTACTTCCCATGCCGTGTATACGGAAAGAAACAGATACGTCACTTGACGTCAAGCAGTGACCGGTTGGGTGCCAATTACCTAGATTGATAGAGACAAATGTGTCAGCTTCATGTCCAATCAATATGCAATTCCATAAATAAACTGCAGATAGCGACACAGAAAATACACATTACTGATTGTTATTGAAGTAGGTTTATTTCTGGAATATGCACATATGCCCGTATTACCCACGGGCAAACATGGTTGTAAGACCAATGCTGCTGCTCACACCTTCTTCACCATATGAACCAATTCCAATAGTGTTCTGGGGCGCCAAAAATCACTTTACAGAGTTGCGTCCCTTAGTCGTGACGGGACCCGCTGATCGAGGGTTCGGGTCCTATATTCGCCCTTTTCGTGATCCTTGGTTATCCCCAGCATGTGGGCTTCACCAAAGTAAATGGCATCTACCTCTATCTCATGACCTTTCTTTACTTTGATAAAGATGTATCAGATCGGAATTCATGACATGTATAATATTATGTTAATGAACTCTGCAGCGACATGATCACTACGAACACTTCGCCCACATTAAGCTGACACGCAGTGATGTGACTGAATATTAAACGTCTACCCCAGAGAATAACCAGTCTCCATTATTCGCCAAAACAGATTCAAAATATATTAGGTGGGATGACACTGTCGTCTGAGGCACCGCAATACGCTGTGCAGATATCCACCCCTTGAGCGAGCCCGAAACCTGTGATCGCGGGGTCGAATCCAGTTCGCCCATAGTGTGGTTGGTTAATAAAGTTCCTATTCATGAAGTTGATAAGTTTACAGTTTACCTCAAACGCATTGATTTGTTTTTACAATTAGCCTCGATTTCAAGAGACCTATTACAGGTGAAATGACGTTCACGATCAATTATATCTCTGAACACCAGCTGATAGGCTGATCAATAATTACAAATCTTAGTGGTGTTAATCACCAAATTATATTCTTTGAAATGACTTAATGATAGTATCGAATAAATATTTCACAAAAGATGTATTTTCGCACAATGTTCAGACATTGAGGAACTGATTTGTGTCATCTAATGTCTATTAGTTGCACGATACACCATCGTTGATGTGGCATGAATGATGTATCAGAGTCCTATGGTCTTGTTACTGAATAAATGTTTGTGTACATCTGAATTGTATTCAATATATACATGCATTAATCGATGGATGTAGCTGTGTGGCGGTTATATATCACAGTCGTTCGTGTTGGGCCGACATCCAATACATAGTATACAATGTATAGAAATATAGATAGACGTTAGGATGGCCCTTTTCAGACGGGCAATGAATAACTATTGTGGAGGGATCACGATCAGAATTATTTCAAGTATTGTCCACAACCGTCATGAAATCACTGTTTATCATTCTGGGTGAGAAAAGTCTAAGGAAATGTTGTTTTACGGTCAGTTTTATTCCAGCTATTTCAAGGCGCATGTAAATTATCGAGGCAAATCAGCGGTTGATAGCATGACAGACGAGTCAAGCCATCGGGGTACTTTGGCACTAATTCAATCAGGCAACACATTGCAATAATCCTCATCTATTCGTTCTTATGGTGAGATGAGGTGAGATGAGATGAGATGAGATGAGATGAGATGAGATGAGATGAGGTGAGGTGAGGTGAGGTGAGGTGAGGTGAGGTGAGGTGAGGTGAGGTGTAATATTATTGCACTTGGCCGGGGATTGAACCACCGACCTTCCGCTCTCCGGGCAGACGTTCTATCCACTACACCAAGAGGCGGTGTATGTCCTAGAACATCAACGGTAACAAGTATGGAATGAAGTCAGTGATTTCAACTTCGACTGATTCATTCTAATTTGCAGAAGTGAAGGTTTAGTTTAGTTTAACGTCGTTTGAACAGTAGTTTGTTACTTGTGTGTTCATGTGTGCCCAAAGTGATGCAGGTCTCAGACATTTACCACGTTAGTGAAACCCAAGAGCACGAGTATGGTGCTGACAAACATCAATCATAATGATTGTGTTATTGGAACCCACAATATTAAAGATCTAACCCAATTACTTAGTCGGTCTCCCAGACACTAAAGACAGTTTTGAGAAAGGAGTCCAACTCAAGTCTATAATGATTTGGCAAGTCTAGATTCTAGCCTTTGCTCTAACCCTGAAATTAAGGATTGTTCTGGGCACCATTCTTTTTAATTTTGGATATATATATAACTTTTTTTTCTGGGACTAAATGTCAGTTTACCATCTACTCCGCACAGTGCATTGCGATGCCTCAGACGACTGCGCCACCCGTGCTCTGATCAGCACCAAAGTGCACGTGCCTCTGAACACATCCCATCACTATTGCTAATTGAAGTCCTCCGCAAACTTAACATCAAAGCTCACTACGTGCTTCCTGCTTGCTGCTTGACAGAGGTTCCGGACTTTGCTATATTCTGTTCGTCGTC